TTCTTGGGCTCCAAAATCACTGTGAATGGTGACTGCAGCCATGAAATTAAAAGATGCTTGCTCCTTGGAAGAAAAGCTAGACAGCATATTAAAAAGCAGAGATATCACTTTGCCAACAAAGGTCCGTATAGTCAAAGCTATGGTTTTTCCAGTAGTCATGTATGGATGTGAGAGTTGGACCATAAAGAAAGCTGAGAACCAAAGAATTGATGCTTTCAAATTGTGGTGCTGGGAAAGACTCTTGAGAGTCCCTTGGACTGCCTGGAGATCAAACCAATCAATTCTAAAGGAAATCAACCCTGAATGTTCATTGGAAGGACTGATGATGAAGCTGAAACTCCAGTACTTTGGCCACCTTATGTGAAGAGCTTATGTGAAGAGCTGAGTCAAGGGAAAGACCCTGATGCTGGGAAGGATTGAGGGCAGGAGGAGGAGGAGATGACAGAGGATGAGATGGTTGGATGGCATCATCAACACAGTGGACATGAGTTTGAGCAAACTCCGGGAAATAGTGAAGGACGGGAAAGCCTGTTGTGTCACAGTCCATGGGATTGCAAAGAGTCAGACATGACTTAGCAACAACTAAGGAACAACAACAATCTAAACTATGTGCAACATAAAATCCAATGCTTATTACAAGAAGGTAACAAAATCTCAAAACCAACATGTAAAACTCACAATGTTAATAAAAATTAATATGTTCAAAAAATCAGGAAAATCATTACCCATAATTTAAAAAAAAAACCTGAATAATTAGAAACAGATCCAGGAAAAGAACACATACACACTACTATATATACGATAGATTACCAAAAGGACCTACTCTATGGTACAGGGAAGTCTACTCAATATTCTGGGATAACTTATATGAGAAGAGAATCTAAAGAGTGAATATATGTTCAGTTCAGTTCAGTTGCTCAGTCATGATCTGACATATGTGTACAGCTAACCCTTAAATAATGTACGGATTGGGGTACTGACCCTCCACATATTTGAAAATCCATGTGTAACTTTAGTCTGTCCTCTCTATCTGTGGTTCTGCATCTGCAGGTTCAACTAACCATGAATGGTGTTGTAATGTAGTAGATATTTTGGGAGGGGGGGAAACATTGTAAATGTTTTCACACAGTTTAAACCATGTTGTTCATGGGTTAACTAATTGGAATCCTAGAAAAGGAAGAGACAGAAAAAAATATTCAAAGAAATAGTGGCTATAAACTTTCCAACTGTGATGAAAACCATAATCCTACAAATTCAGGGAGCTTGACAAAGGCAAAAAGAAACATGAATAAAAGCACAACAAGGCATATCATAATCAAATGAAAACCAGTGCTGAAGAAAAAATGTTCAGAGGGAAAATGTCATAGATGGACAAAAATAGAACAGTAGCATATATCATTAGAAACAGTGCAAGCCAGAAGATAGTTGTGTGTGTGCCACTCAGTCGTGTCTGACTCTTTGCAACCCCATGGACTGTAGCCCGCCAGACTCCTCTGTCCATGGAATTCTCCTGGCAAGAGAATCCCACCTGGAGTAGGTTGCCATTTCCTTCTCTAGGGAATCTTCCCAACTCAGGGATCCAACTGGGGTCTCCCACATTGTAGGCTGATTCTTTACCATCTGAATCACCAGGGAAGACAAAGATATCTTTAAAGTACTGGATAAGGGGGGTGGGGATGGTCTGTCCACTTGATATTCTATACCAAGTAAAAATATCCTTTAAACTGAAGGCAAAATAAAGACTGATTTAGACAAAGAAAGTAGAAAGAATTTCTCATTAGCAAACCAGAGGGAAAAAAGTTAAAGGAAGTGCTTTAGTCAGAAAAAGGTTGTATCAGAGAGATCCTTGGAGCCACACGAAGGAATACAAGTTCCAGAAACGGATAAGTATGGAGAAAAATTTTTCTTGTTTTTAAGTGATAATTGATTATCTAAATTTAAGCAAAGAATAATGACAATTTATAATGGGGTATATTATATATGTAGAAGTAAAATGGAGGTGACAAGCAGCACAAGGCTGGGAGGATGAAAATGGAAATATACTGTTGCAAGTTTCTTGTAATATAAGTAAAATGGTATAGTATTATTTGAAGGTAGACTACGATAAGTTAAAGTTGTATGCTGTGAACTGAAGGGCACTGCGAATAAAGTAAAGCTAAAAAGCCAATAGTGGAGGTAAAAAGGAAACGTTAAAAATACTCAATTAATCCAAAAGAAGTTAGGAAAGAAAAGAAAATAATGAACAAAAGCCAGATGAACAAATAGAAAACAATAGCAGGATGATAGATTTAAACCTAACCATATCAATAATTATATTAAAAGCAAATGGGAAGAACAACTAAGAGATAGCTTTTAAGACTGAATTGAAAGCAACACCCAACTTGATGCTGAACCCAAGAAATCCACTTTAAAAACAAAGACAGATAAAAAGTAAAGGATGGAAAGTATATCACAGTAACTAATTAAATCAAACAAAATGGATGCGTCATTCCATTTATATGACAACACAGGAAAGCAAAACATAGAGACAGAAAGCAAATCAGCAGTTGTCTGTGTCCGGAGAGTAGGGGAAGGTATTGACTACAAATGGTACATGGAAACTTCCTGCAGTGATGGGATTGTTCTGGCCCTCCATAGTGATGGTAGCTATAGAACTATACATGTTTATCCAAATTTAGCAAATATTGTACTTAAAATTGGTGAATTGCATTGTTTGTAATTTATACCTCAGGAAAGATGATGAAAGGGTGAGGGAGAGGGAGAAGGGAGGAGGAATAAAGAGGAGAAGAAAAAGAACAGGGAAGGGGGAGGGGAAGGAAAGAAATTAACCATTTGTTTTCCCAAAGTACAGTCTTTTCAGTTAGAGTAGTTGCCACTGGCCTTTGGCTCCATCATGTTAAACATTTTAGCCCTTTTCTCTGATCCTTAGTTTCTACTCACATTTACACTCCAATGGTCTTACCTTCCACCTTAAGGAATTTATTGACTGTTGTACTAAACAAAGATAACTGAATCCCAAAGAGAAATTCTGGTACCAGCCGACGACATGAAACTGTCACCTAGTTAAATGAGGAACTCCTCGGAAGAAACTGGTCTTCCCTCTTGCTGTCTGACATCGGCCTCTGCCCTTCCTGTCCTCACTTGCTCCATCTCTGGCCACATCTTCCTTTTGTTGCTGAAAATGCCACCCAACCCTCTGCTCTGCTGTTACTCTTGAACACCACAGTTCCCTTTCTTCAATAAGTAAGACCATTTCTATATTCTCCCCCATCTCCCACCAGAATGGAAAGTTGAATACACATGAAAGTCTTACCGGTGGGCCTTCTAGGGACACAAAGGACTGAAGTAAAGCATGTAAACTTCACAGGGGAGATACATTTCATAATCACAAGGACAACTCGACTGCTAGACTTTGAGACTCCGGGGAAAGAATTGGGATAATCAGATGGTAGGTATGTGATAAAAGGGCTCAGAGTGGCATCAGTTGGAAAGAAGACATGAAATACAGAGTGAAACAGTATATAAGTAGATGTGAATGTACTTACACCCATGCTAACAGGCAACTGAATATATCTTACTTGTGGACTGGGAGAAAATATTTGCAGTTTCCAAAATGTATAGACAGCTCATACAACTCAATGACAAAAAAAAAAAAAAAAAAAACAGTCAAAAAATTGGCAGACCTAAATAGCCATTTTTCAAAAAAAAAAATGTACAAGTGGCCAATAGGCATATGAAAAGGTGCTCAACATCACTAATTATCAGAGAAATGCAAATCAAAACTACAATAAGCTATCACCTCACACAGGTCAAAATGGCCATTATCAAAAAGTTTCCAACTAACAAATGCTAGAGAGGGTTTAGAGAAAGGGGAACCCACCTACACTGTTGGTGGGAGTGTAAACTGGTGCAGCCACCATGAAACACAGAACAGAGTTTCCTCAAAAAACTAAAAATAGAGTTGCCATATGATACAGCAATCCTACTTTGGACATATATCCAGATAAAAACTCTACATGTACCCTAATATTCATAGAGGCACTATTTACAATACCCAAGCCATGGAAGCAATCTAAATGTCCACTGACAGGATGGATAAAGATGTGGTATATGTACATCTATCTATTTATACATACATGCAATGGAATACTATTCAGGCATAAAAAAGAATGAAACAATGTCATCAGCAGAAACATGAATGAACCTAGAGATTATCATACTAAGTGAAGTTAAGTCAAACAGAGAAAGACAAATATATGATATCAATTGTATGTGAAAATCTAAAATATGATGCAAATGAACATTTTTACAAAATAGGAACAGACTCACAGACAAAGAAAACAAGCTTATGGTAACCAAAGGGGAAAGGGGGTGGGAGAACAATACATTAGGAGTTTGGGGTTAGCAGATACAAACTACTATATATAAAATTAATATGACAACAAGGTTCTACTGTCTAGCACAGATAACTATTTTCAATATCCTTAATAAACTATAATGGAAAATAATATTAAAAAAGGTATACATATGTAACAGAATCATTTTGCTATTCACCAGACACTAACACAGCATTATAAATCAACTATACATCAATAAAAAGTTTAAGAATTTTTAAAATATTGGTTGTCTTGTCAAGCATCATAGAGAAGATATAGCCTATCTTCATATTCTGTGATGATTTCCTGATCAAAGGTTACTCACTTCTTTGATTAAATTTAAATAACAATTATTTAGACACACTGTAAAATTAGCTTGCTAGCCTTTTAAATAATGTACTAGTAACATTTCTTGTTCACCTCAGATCACCATTGACTCAGAGTTTTTATAATTACACAGACACAGAAGTGGATCTAAGTGAATCTTAGATCCACATAATGAAGGTTTACTATAGAAAGGCACAAACATCTTCATTGAAAGCTTATGTTCCCGCAGATTTGAGAGCAGTGAAAAAGTAATTCTCAGAAACTCTTCAGATGTTCTCATGGCTTTTACTTCTCCAGGTGCGTCTTACTCTGACCACACACTCCCCATGGAGAAGATGGATGATGCTGTAGCTCCAGGCCAAGAATATACCTATGTGTGGAGTATCAGTGAGGACAGTGGGCCCACCCACGATGACCCTCCATGCCTCACACACATCTATTATTCCTATGTAAATCTCGTAGAGGACTTCAACTCTGGACTGATTGGACCTCTGCTTATTTGCAAGAAAGGTAAAAAAAAATTCAATGACAACAAAGATGTTGGATTGGTAAGGAGTACTATCATGAAATGAAGTTTGAAAGCGCCTTGGGATCTTTTCATAAATGAAGAGAAGGGTGCAGAAACCAGATCATAGTTTGACACTGGTATTTGAAGGGTGGAATCTTCTCTCTCTTTAATCCTTTCTTCATCTTGGTCCTGGGAATCTCTCCCAAGTAAATCTTTGTCTGGGAGTATGTTCTGCTGCCATGCCCATATGATCTGTAACATTTACCTCAAGGCCAGGTCTTTTTGAAAGTATACAGCAGCCTATATACTCTGCTGAGAGTCCTTGGAAAGAGTTTTGACAAATATACCTGAGGCTTGGGTTGGCAATTTGGTCTATAAATACACAAAACTCTAAGTTTCTTTCTTGTAAAGAAGCCAAACACTTTGGGTGGTAGGTTTTGAACACACTCAATTGACTTTATAAGAAATTTCATTGGCTGGGCTTCTTACGAGTAAGCTTGGATTACTTTACCCCAAAGAATTTATCCAATCTTTTATTAAAATAAACAACCATAACAAATTTCACTGTGGGAAACAATATGATGGATTCACCATCTGTCTATACATATACACATACCAAACCTACATAACATTCCTAATTCATTTATTCACTACACAAATACATATTTTCATTGCCTGGTATACTGAAGATACTGTGACGACACTGAAAAATATTTTAAACTTGTAAAATTCTCTTATTTCATTTTATAATCAGCTGCATTTTTTTCCATTTTGAGAATAGATTAATCTTGACCCTCTCAACCAATTCTCTATGTCTCATTACAGATACTAGCAAGATGGCTCTATTAAACTTAGAGTGTAATGCTTTTACCAGATAAGCCATGGGACCTATGAGCTATGGGACTTATTGACACTGGAAGAAATGGCTACTTTTACTAAAGTCTTAACAGTCATCAAATGTTTTCTCTCTGTGTCAGATCAAATGTACCTTTAAAGTCCCATTCCTCAAGGCTATCAGATGTCAGAGGAAACAATGTGGTACCAGGATTTTAATAAGCGTTCAATCATTATTACTTGATAGATGCTATTTTTTATAAGAATGGCTCACAGTAGACATCGGTATGATAGGCTGCTTCTCTACAACACTGCCATCTAGGAATAGCTAGAGTCTTCTAACTTGGATGCTATTAAAACTATGTCTTTTTTCACAGGCACCCTAACTAAGAATGGAATTCAGAAAATGTTTGACAAGCAACATGTACTGATGTTTGCTGTGTTTGATGAAAGTAAAAGCTGGAATCAGACATCATCCTTAATGTACACAGTCAATGGCTATGTGAATGGGACGATACCAGGTAATACACGGGCTGTGTTGAAAAACTAGTTGAAGCATTGGTCCCATTGTTTCCCTAAGGCCCTAGGGAAGTTGACTACACTATTTATTTTTTAACTCCTGATCTGAAAGGTCATGGAACCTAGTTTAGTGGTTCTCAAGATTTTATTATCCTATTTGAAAACAAAAGACAAAAAACCCCCACAAAAACTAGCAAGTACAACAGACAAATTAGAAGCCAAGAGAAGCAAGTGATCTTATTAGACATCATGCTCTGAGCAGGTTTCACCTGCAAAGACCTCCAGGATATCAGCTTAGTCTTCTTCAGTGAATTGTGTGGTTCCTGCTGCACAGTAACCATACCTTCCTCCAAAGAGGAAGACTCAGAGGACAGAATTCAAGGTCAATCCCTAGCAGGAAAGGTCAGTAGGAAGAATGCAATAAAGACACTTACAGTGAAGATGAATAGGAGACTAGGAGAAATATCCAGTATGTGAAAATACTACGAGCATTGCAAAAGATGATGAATAATATTCAATGACATGTGGGATATTTTTCTCTTCATTTGCATGTAGACTCTTGTGAAAAAGCGAAATTATAACTATTGTTAAGAGAAAAAAATTGATACCCATCTAAACCACTTCTGCTTCTCTCTGATAGAAATGAACTAGAATCAAAGATCCTGTGGAGGAAAAATGGGAGAAGTGAACATATTACTTTATTAAATAAACTATGCTTCAAAGCACTAAGCTTCTCAGAAGCTATTCTCTGTATCTGAAAATCACAAGTGGTTTCTCTAACTAAAAATAAAACTTGTCAAGAGTTGAGGTCTGGATATTGCTTTTAAATTGTGTTCCATTTCATTTGATTCCATCTTCCTGGTTAGGTCTTTATACTCACATGACCCTGGGTTTTGATTCAGAGTTTAAAAACTTAGTTACTGAGCACATCTGACCTCACCTTGTTCACTTCTCTACCCTAGTGTGTTTTTTTGGCAGTTAACTGTCTCAATGTACTTTCTTACAAAAATGGGTTAATCATCTATCCTGGTGCAGAAGGTACTCAAGAATTTTTTTTACAGATAACATAGCATGTCTAGTACTATGGGCCTTAAGGGGAGTGGTCAAAAGAGAACCTGTATCTATGCCCAGGCAGATTGAATTGCCTGTGCAAATGCGGAGAAGAAGCCAAAGGAATCCATATGAAAAAAATAGCAATTAATAACTCTATGTGGGCATAGAATTTAAGAACTTATAGTTGAAAAAGACACAGTAGCTGGGGTTAAGAAGGGCAACCTAAGGAAATGTCATTAGTAGAAATAGAAAAGTTAATGCTTGTTAGACTGCCTTATGGAGCAGTATAAATTGAAAAACTATAATAAATGCCAACACAGATGTATAAAAGGCTCAAACCAATATAAGCATTGATTTGAGACAGATAAATTCTTCCACCAAAGCCTCCTACCTTCCAACTTCTTGTTCTCACCAATGATACCAGGAAATGGTCTTGTTACAATGGTTTAAAACAGAGAAGCCCTCAGCCACTCTTTGTGTGAGGGACTGATTCATGGCCCCACAATCTAATATCAAGTGATTATAGATCTGAAAGTTAAAACCCAAGCCAAGGATAGAAGCCAAGGTTGGAATCTCCTGCAGAGCAAATTAGCATTTTCACGGTCACTGTGGGGGCAAAGAAGGAACCAAATAGCTTTTGTACTCAGTTCTCATTACTCCATCCATGAAACACTCCCAGTGACCCAGTATAATGAGGATTTACCCACTGCATGTTAACAAGATCCTATAAATGACAGAGTAACTCATTGTCTTGTCATTAAAATAATCAGTCAGTGGGTAAAGAAACAGAGCATGCGTGCTAAGTCACTTCAGTCGTGTCTGACTCTTTGTGACCCCATGGACTGTAGCCCACTAGGCTCCTCTGTCCGTGGGATTTTCCAGGCAAGAATACTGGAATGGGTTGCTGTGCCCTGCTCCAGAGGATCTTCCCAACCCAGGGATCAAACCTCCATCCCTTATGTCTCCTGCATTGGCAGGTGGGTTCTTTATCACTACTAGCACCACCTTGGAAGCCCAAAGAAACAGTATAAACTACTTAAAGCATCTTCACTTAAACTTGACCCCTAAACTCATCCCTTTTGGAGGTTTGGCCCTTAAACTCAGCCCTGTTGGAGGCTCTGGCAACTCCAGTTGAGCCCAGGTTGGTTGTAGAGTGACCAACTACTCAGGCTTGCCCAGGACTTTCTCAATTCTAAGATTGAAAGTTCTGTATTCTGGGAACCCCTCTGTCCTTGGTAAACCAGAAGTGTTGGTCACCTACTTGCCTCTCTCCTTGGATCTTAGCAGTCCCTGTGTTTCTGAGCTAACATTCCCCCATCTCTGGGCTCTTAGCACCACTTATTGCAATGAGTTGTGACTGCTTGTTTGCTCATGACTTGGATGACTGCTTTTCTAGGGAAGGTACCATAGTGGGAGTGTTTATACCCCCAGAACCTTGCACAAGGCCTGATGCAAAGCAGGTGCTCAAAATGTATCTGGTGAGTGAATTCTTTTATCACAGACTGCTGATGGCCTGTGTTGGCCCCCATCTCTCCCTCAGATATAACAGTCTGTGCCCATGACCACATCAGCTGGCATCTGATTGGAATGAGCTCTGGGCCAGAACTGTTTTCCATCCATTTCAATGGTCAGGTCCTAGAGCAGAACCATCGTAAGATCTCAGCCATCACTCTCGTCAGTGCCACGTCCACGACTGCAAACATGACCGTGAGCGCCGAGGGAAGGTGGACCATAGCTTCTCTCATCCCCAAACATTTTCAAGGCAAGAAATTCCTCCATAAGTCTTGCTTATGAATGTAGGATCCTTCTTTCTTCCTACCTTGGCACTAACTCTCCCATTCTCCTGTCTCCTTACAAGCTGCCCACGCTCCAGACATAACATTTCTTGGTCCTCGAAAACAGAATTTAGATACTTTGCTCTTAGACTTATAACCTGTTAGTTGGGGATGGAGGAAGTAGAAAAATTGACAAAGATTTTTTAAAATGATGCAAAAGCCAACATGATCTCTACTTCCTTGAAAGGAGAAAAGAGGAAGGAAACAAAAACATATGTGCAGATATTCTTTCTTGGGGTATTCAGTATGCAGCTAAAGGAAAAGAAGTAGATGTTGGAACCTGTCAAACTTCTGTAATTTATAGAAAGACCAAGTTATAGATAGTGAAAAGGTTTTAACATGAAAAGATTGTCTTTCATAACAAAATGAGCACAAAGCCTCGTCCACAGAGGAACTCAGTGGATGTGTATTGAATGGAAAGAAAATAGAAGCAAACCAGCTGAGGATTTTAAAGGACATTACTGAATCCTGGTGGGAAAAAAAAATCAGCTTAGGTTGTTATATGGTATCAGGTAAGCAAAATAATGCTCTATTGCACACTGTTGCTTTAAAACTGTTAGGTGGAGGGTTCCTGTACATAAAAGTAAATATCACTACAGGAAATCATTGTATTATCAAAATAATGTGTACAAAAGCAAGACATACAAGAAAGAGACACTTCTGGGATAATTTCAGTTTTTGTTCATACTGAGTGGTCAAAATTATATTTGAAGTAATGAACTGTCACAATATTGCTAGAAGATAGAGTCCTAAATAATAATGAAATAATAAAACTAACATTACTGAGTTTAAGTGCATTTTGTGCTTTTACAATTTCATATAGTATATATTAGTATTATCTTAATTTACAAACAGATGATAGGAAAAATGAGAAATTGACAAGGTCTAAGTCATAAAGTTTTAAGAGTCTGGAAATTACACAAAATTTTCCTCCCCTGAAAAATACAAGGAAAACTATTCCAATTTTTTTCCTTTACCCATTCTCTCTCTTTCCCTTGCTTTTTTATTCTTGCCTTCCTCACTGTACTAAAATAGTTTCAAACCAAAATGCTTAAAAGTTTCCTAAGTACTACTTTCACTGTTATTATTGAAAACTTCCACAAATTTATTTAAAAGATTTTCATTTTTATCAGCCTTAATTTCTTCTCTCAAATTCTTCCATTTTCCTTACGTTCTAACTCAGCTGGGATGCAGGCTTACATAGACATTAAAAACTGTGCAAAGAAAACCAGAAATCCTAGGAAATTAACTCGAGACCAGAGGCGGTACATGAAGAGGTGGGAATACTTCATCGCCGCAGAGGAAGTCATTTGGGACTATGCACCTATAATACCAGCAAACATGGACAAGTGAGTTTGGATGGGTTCTTCCTACTGTGCAAATGTTTATGACATGTTCTATAGGGTCCTAGATCCATAGGGTCCTAGATCCATAGGGTGAAATGTCATGAGTTGACAGCTTTCAAGGAAATACATGTATTGGATTTCATTTTCAAGTCAATCTGAAATTATTCCATACTCACCAAGAGAACTCAGCATGATAATAACTACAGTCATGGGAACAACAACAATAATAATAGCAGCTACCACGTGTTGAATGCTTCCTATTGCCAAGCAGTGTGGTAAACCTTTCTAAGAGCTTTGCTTTAACTCCACAATTAGAAACAGCTCTTATTTATTTTATAGATTAGGAAGTGGGAGAGCTGGATTAAGAAAATTATAAATTCAAGTAGCTCTTATACACTTGAAAGGTACACAAGTTCACTCATAAGAGAAATATGCAAATTATTAATAAACTTCTGTGGAATACTATTTTTTCACCTATCAGACTCACAGCTTCAGATGATATATAATCTAGTGGCAAGACTGTGGGAAACAAGCTTTATCATGTATTACTGGTGGAAGAGTGAACTGGAAAACCATTCTAAAAGATAATTTGGCAGTATGTATTAAAATTACAAATGCATATATCTTTTGACCCAGCAACCCCACTCTGGGAATTTACTATATAGATTCATATATTTGTTTACAGGTGAAATGAAGTATGCACAGGATGTTCACGGCTGCACTGTTAGTAGTAGCAAAGGCTTGGAAACAACCTATGAAAGTGACAGTCGCTCAGTCGTGTCTGACTCTTTGTGACCGCATGGACTGTAGCCCACCAAGCTCCTCCTTCCATGGGATTTCCAAGGCAAGAATACTGGAGGGGGTTTCCATTTCCTCCTCCAGCGGATCTTCCCAACCCAGGGATTGAACCTGGGTCTCCTGCATTGCAGACAGATTCTTTACCATCCGAGCTACCAGGAAAGCCCTGAAACAACCTATAGTGTCCCTCAGTAGTAACATATGAGTATATACATACAATGGAATACTGGGTATATGTTTTAAAATGGATGTAAACATTCTCTCTATACTAATATAAAAAGTTCTCCAAGAGATATTTTTAAATTAGTAAGTCAAGGGAACAAGATGGTAGAACAGCAAATTCCCCTACTTGTATCCCCCAACAAGGGGATACCACAGAAGTGCAAAGGAACACAAGAGGCTACTACAAACAATATATGTCAACAAATTGGATAAGTAGAAGAAAGGGAAAAGGGTCCTACAAACATGCACTCTACCAAGACTGAATCAAAGAGAAACAGGAAGCCTGAACAGATCAACAAGTAAGAAGATCAAATCAGTAATCAAAAACCTTGAAACAAAAGAAGCCCAGAACTAGATGGCTTCACAAGTATATCATACATGAATCCTCAAACTCTTCCCAAATATTAGAGCAGGGAACACTTCCAAACTTATCTTACAAGGCCAGCGTTACTCTTATACCAAAGCTATATAAGGACATTGTAAGAAAAAAATTACAGGCCAATATCCCTGATGAACATAAATGCCAAGCTATCAAAATATTAGTAAACTGAAGTCAATACCACATTGGGATTATCATAAACTATGATCACACTTCCTGATTTCAAATGACATCACAAAGCTATAGTTATCAAACAGCATAATAATATCATAAAAACAGACACATAGACTAAATAAACAGAAGTAAGGGCTCAGAATAAATAGATGCATGTACAGTCAATTAATCCTCGACAAGGACACTAAGCAGACACAATGGGGAAAGGATAGTCTCGTCAATAAATGATGGTAAGAAAACTGGATATTCACATGCAAAAGAATAAAATTAGACCCTTAGCTTATTACATACAACATGTACAAAATCTAAGTAAAAAATAAATTAAAAACTTAAATGTAATGTCTGAAACCATAAAACTCCCAGAAGATCACAAAACAGAGAAGCTCTTTGACGCTGGTCTCAGCAATGATTTTTTTCGCTATGCCACCAAAAGCACAGGTAACAAAAGCAAAAATAAACAAGTGGAGCAACATCAAACTGAAAAACTTCTGCAAAAGAAACAACAAAATGAAAAGATAACCTACAGAATGGGAGAAAATAGCAGCAAACCAAGTATCTGAGAACAGGTTAATAGCCAAAATATTGGGTTGGCCAAAAAGTTCATTCAGGTTTTCCCACACAATAAAAGGAACTCATGTAACTCAATGGCAAAAGAAACAAACAAAAATAGCCTGATTAAGAAATGAGCAAAGGACCTAAACTGACATTTTCCCTACAGAAAACATACAAATGCCCAATAGGTATATGAAAAGGTGTCCAGCATCACTAATCATCAGGGAAAAATCATATCCTTGATGAGATATCACCTCACACCTATGAGGATGACTAGCACGCAAAAGAGGTAACAAGTGTTGATGAGGGTACAGAGAAAAGGGAACCCTTGTATACTGATGGTGAAAATATAAATTGGTGCAGCCTTTAGGGAAAACAGGCTTCCCTGGTGCTCAGACGGTAAAGAAACTGCCTGCAATGCAGGAGACCTAGGTTCAATCCCTAGGTCAAGAAGATCCCCTGGAGAAGGGAATGGCAACCCACTCCAGTATTCTTGCCTGGAGAATCCCATGGATAGAAGAACCTGGAAGTCCATGGGGTTGTAAAGAGTCAGACACAACTGAGCAACGAACACTTTTACTTGTGGAAAATAGTAAGGAACTTCCTCAAAAAATTAAAAATAGAATTACTGTATGATCCTGCAATCTCACTTCTGAGTATATATCCAAAGGAAATGTAGTATATACTATCAAAGAGTTACCTGTACTCCCATGTTCAGTGCAGTGTCAACCATGACAGATTAAACATGGAAGCAACCTAAGTGTCTATCAGTGGAGATATATATGTGTATGTATGTGTGTGTGTGTGTGTGTGTGTGTGTGTGTGTGTGTGTGTATATATATACAATTGAATATTATTCAGCCTTAAAAAAGAAGAAAATCCTGCCATGTGCAATAATATGGGTGAACCTGCAGGACATTAGGCTAAGTGAAATATTCCAGACACAGAATGACAAATACTGCATGACCTCATATGTGGAATCTAAAGTTGAACCCGTAGAAGCAGACAGTGTAGTGGTGGTTGCCCGGGGCTGAGCGGGTAGGGGGAATGGGAGAAGTTGATCGAAGTATACCAGTTTTTCAGTTTTAAAATGAATGAGTTCTGGAGACCTAATATAGAGCATAGTATATTAACTATAGTTAGTAACACCATAGTTAATAACATTGTATTATATTCTTGAAATCTGTTAAGACAGTAGATCTTAAGTGTTATCAAAATTAAAAAATAAGCAACTAGGTGAGGTGACAGAAGTGGTTATTAGCTTGATTGTGGTAATCTCATATACTTACATACAAATCATTATGTTGTAAATCTCAGATACATACATTTGTCAGTTATATTTCAATAAAGCTGGGAAGTGCAACAAAAATTCAAGGTATGGTACAGAATATGCAAATAGCTGCCTTTTGTTAGAGGCATGAGAGGATAAGAATAGTTATATCTGCAAGTCATATTTGCATAAAGATGCTCTGGATTATCTACTTGAAATGAATACAAATGAGTATTTAGGAAATGTAGGGAGAGTCAGGGAAGTGGGGTTGAGAAAAAAAAATCCACAACTCTGTAGCAGCAATCAGTGCTTTTTATTGTATAGAATAAATCCATAAAATGGATAAACTCTATTATGGAATCTGCTTTTGCAAACAAAGGCAATAAAAAGGACCAAGGGGAAAAGTAGTTCATGTTACTTCCCCAAATCATTTACTGCAGTAGCTACAGAAGACGGGTGAAGGCAGTTGGTTTTCAGTTGGCACCAGGATTGGGTGGATGGTAGAAGGGACAGCCCAACAGTACAGAACTATGTTAATAAAGACAGTAGAAACTTACTAGAGTGGGAATGTGTTCTTTTAGAGATGGAGAAATACCTGGAAAGCCAATTGTTTGTTGTTTTAGTCATTAAGTCATGTCTGACTCTTTTGCAACCCTATGGACTGTAGCCTGCCAGGCTCCTCTGACCATGGAATTTTCCAGACAAGAATACTGGAGTGGGTTGCCATTTCTTCTCCAGGGGATCTTCCTGACCCAGGCGTCAAATCCACATCTCCTTGATTGGCAGGCAGATTCTTTACCACAGTCGTGTCCGACTCTTTGCAACCCCATGAATCGCAGCACGCCAGGCCTCCCTGTTCATCACCAACTCCTGGAGTTTACTCAAACTCATGCCCATCGAGTCAGTGATGCCATCCAGCCATCTCATCCTCTGTCGCCCCCTTCTCCTCCTGCCCCAATAGGATACTATAAATTAAGTGATAAGACATACTTAAGAAAAATTCATAATGTATCTTCTCCTTTCATCCAAGTAGACCTTTCAGAGATCGCTACTCTAGAAACTGGAGAGATAGGAAGATGTAAGTAGCTGCTTCTAACCAAGATTATGACTTCATCAATGGTGGAGGAGACAGATCAGAGATTTCCAGTTTTCCAACTACAGAGAAGATATCAGGAGTTTGCAAATCACATTAGGGTTCCCCCCCACCTAAGAAAACTAGCATTTTATCTAATTCAAGAGCAGAACTTCTAAACATAAGGGTTTCCCCCCATCCTATTGGGGTCTCTACTTGAGAAAACTAATCTTTTAAACTTTATTTCACTTTAAGAAAATACAGATCTCTGCATTTGGATAATTTCTCAAACCGAATTGGAAAACATTATAAGAAGGTTGTCTACAAACAGTACCAAGATGACTCCTTCACCAAACGCCTGGAGGATCCCAGTAGCAAAGGAGATGGGATCTTGGGCCCTGTTATCAGAGCCCAGGTCAGAGACACGCTGAAAGTAAGTAACAGAAATACAGAACCATGGAAGAACTTGAAAACTGAAAAACAGATTATACATACTGGTTATTTATTTTTTTTTAACGTGACCATGTAATTTTTAATTCAAATTTGGTTTTAATTCTTTTTTGTATTTGCACTTATTATAGCCTATCTCAGAATACAAATCATCTAAAATAGTTGATCAGATTATAAAGGAATAAACCAAGGAGCCGATGTAACTGGGGTGAAGGATAATGTGGGGACAAAGAAAATAAAGCCAAGGATAAGTATAATGAAACACATACCATATGCTCCTATAATGTTGTCTGCAAATTTTGTCCTAGGATTTCTAGCAGCCAAAATAAACAGGTAAATAGGTCAGGCAAGATTCACAGTAGTCATAAAAGAAGTACAATTTCCCCTGTTATTGAGACTTAGAAGAAGTTATCCTATGGATACTTAAAAAGAGCATGGTGTATGATGTGGCAGATGGAATCCTTGACCCATCTACAACTGGTATGATAAATTTAAAAGCTGCATAGTTTTTTATTTTAATTTTATTTTTAATTGATTGATGATTCTTTAAAATAATGGTTTGATTTGTTTTTTGGAGGCCTGGGGGTCTTCTGCTATCATTTAGAGGTTACTCTGTAGGAGTTGTTCCATATTGTAATGAGTTTTTTATGTATTTGTGGGGAGGCAGGTGATCTCCCTGTTTACTCCTCGACCATCTTCTTTCACTTCCTAAAAATTGCATAGCTTTTTAAAATAATGTTTCTCATTATATCTGAGAACATAGATGAAAACAGTTCATCAATGTGGTATAAGCATTGTAGTTCTCTGATGATTGGTCTCTGATGAAGGTAAATTTTGATATGTGTCAAGAACACTGAGTGTTCCTCAGGCAGGTTTCTTTATATGTTGTATCATGTCATTACCTTATCTTTTGATAAGAACTAGACAGTGAGAATTAAAAATTGCAGTCTTTGGCCAGATTCTAGGGTGAATATAATCTGCAGATTAAGGATGACCCAAATGCTTTGGCAAGCAACCAAGTAGAAGATAAGATTAAGGTTCTCTTCTGAAGATTAAGGAGGCTAATTAGGACTCTTGTGTGATGAAGCTGCTTCCTTCATCTCTTCATGGGAATGAACTAAGAGGATATTTGCAGACAAAGCCAGTTCTATTCATTAAAATAAATAAATAAATAACCAAACGGCAGAAAGCCACATTTCTCTTGTTTCTCTCTTCCTTTCCTCATTACTGATCCCGTTTAGGTGCTCTTAGAAAGTATAAAGATGCCTCATTGGAAATTCAAGAGCTGGTTATTTGATATGCCCCATCAAGAAGATGGTTTTGGGGGGACTTCCCTGGTAGTCCAGTAGCCACAACTGCACTTCCAGTGCAGGGGACCTGGCTTCGATCCCTGGTCAGGGAACTAGAATCCATGTGCCACAACTAAGAGTTTGAATGCCGCAGTTATATGACTCTGTATGACTAGAGGATCAAAGATCCTACATGCCCCATCTAAGACCTGGTGCAGCCATGTAAACTAAATAAATATTTAAAAAAGAATAAGATGACATCAGGGACAAGGGTTTGGGAGATCTGGCAGACTGGAGAAGGGAAGGAGCAGATTCAAAGGCAGATGTGGTCCAAGCCAAAAGCAGAGGGGAAGGGAGATGGGGCTCAACTTGGAGAGGGTAACGTACCGTGAGGAAAATGTCACTTCTAAGGTCAGACTTCTCTTTCCATTTTCCACCTTACTATGTAAGTGGAACACTCTCAAATGCATCTGCCAGGTGATGGGGAGAGGTTGCCCCTCAGATACACAGTTATTAGTTTGCATTCACCTAAAGACACATACGCACCATCCAACAAGTAAATACGCAAAGCTAACATTGTCTGTTCTCATGATTGACCTTAAATCCTGAAATAATGGATTCGAGTTAATTTTATAGATCGTGTTCAAAAATATGGCCAGCCGCAGCTACAGCATTTACCCTCACGGTGTGACCTTCTCTCCTTACGGCGATGAAGGAAACTCTACCTCAACCTCAGGTTTGAATCTTTCACATCTACTGAATGAAACTACTGACCTCTGAGAGACTGTCATATTGTCCTACTATCCTTCTTGCCTGTTAGTATAACTTGTACCGTCAGATAGTATACATGTAGTGTGTGTGTGCTAAGTTGCTTCAGTGTCCAACTCTTTGCGACCCTAATGATTATAGCCTACCAGGCTCCTCTGTCCACGGGATTCTCCAGGCAAAAACACTGGAGTGGGTTGTCATGCCCTCCTCCAGGTGATCTTCCCGACCCAGGGATCGAACCCGCATCTCCTGTGTCTCCTGCATTGATAGGCAGGTTCTTTACCACTAGTGCCGCCTGGGAAGCCCCAGTATACATGTAGGGGTATCCTCAGAATCACAGCCAAACACTGCTCACATCAGGGATTTTGTTTATCCTGGTGACTACAAAGTATGGTGTCCTTTGTCAGTGCAATAAGCGGCCTCAAGTGGACTGATATCTAATAACCACAAGCTATCCAGAGCTCTGGACATCTCCCAGGAGGCTCAGTGGTGAAGAACTCGCATGCCAATGTAGGAGCCTCAGGAGACACAGGCTCAATCCCTGGGTCAGGAAGATCCCCTGGAGGAGGAAATGGCAACCCACTCCAGTATTCTTGCCTGGAAAATCTCAAGGTTAGAAGAGCCTGTTGGGCTACAGTCTATAGGGTCGTAAAAGAGTTGCATATGACTTAAGAGACTAAACAGCAACAAGAAGTCAGAGTTCTATCAAATGGAGCTTAATATAAAAAGAATATCCCTTTCTCAACACCAATTCTATTGAGAGCTCAATTATTTTAAATTACTCATTCATTTTTTACTTATTTATTTTTTCCATGAAATAATTTTGAAAATCAAAACCAATTTTGAATATATTTTCTTTTAGGCAGTAACACCATGATCAGAGCAGTTCAACCAGGGGAAACCTACACTTATAAGTGGAACATCCTAGAATCTGATGAACCCACAGAAAATGATGCTCAGTGCTTAACAAGACCATACTACAGTAATGTGGACATCACAAGGGACATTGCTTCTGGACTGATAGGGCTTCTTCTAATTTGTAAGAGCAGATCCTTGGATAAACGAGGCATACAGGTATTTCGTCCCTGAAGTAACCTTTCAGAAATTGAGAATTTCTGATGGGAACAGAGTATTTCTCCTTGTTAAATAATGGGGCTTTTGCTTCTGAAGAACAGAAAATATTTAGTAGTCCTTCTTTAGCGTGAATGTAACAAGGCTTATTCCTTTAGTTACTTTATTGTCTTATTTATTTCTTAGATAAGTCTTATATGGACTCTACTGGAGAAGACAAATCTCCAGTGCTATAACTGCATTTTTTGTTTGTTTCAAATTCCAGATCTTCCATACTGGCTACATGATAAGCAAGTCACTTAGTTTCTCTTATTTTTTTCCTTTCATTAAAACAGTATTATTCTTTCCTAAAATTTTTACAGAGCTGTTTCAGGGCTCAGTGAGACATCACCTGGTAAAAGTGACTCTCACAAGGGCTTTGTTCACAATGGGTTCACAGATGTCTGAATTTATGGCTCCACAGGCCCCGAGACCTGTGTGCCTTTGGTTTCTGAGAACTCAGTGTTGTAGGTAATCCATAGGCTAGGATGTTAATCACTGAACACAGCACTTTTATCCTCCAGAGGGTAGCAGACATTGAGCAGCAGGCTGTGTTTGCTGTGTTTGATGAGAACAAGAGCTGGTACATCGAGGACAACATCTACAAGTTTTGTGAAAATCCTGAGAAGGTGAAACGTGATGACCCCAAGTTTTATGAGTCAAACATCATGAGTAGTAAGTCGGAGTGCTCTTTTTATCCATCAGTTTCTTATTCCTGTGGCTGAAGTGTGACTGTATCAAGAGGCAGAGGTGTGAATTAGAATCCACTCACCTCTTAGTCTCACTTCCAATCCAGGAATTTGGTGGTGAAATTACTGGGTGATAAAGAAATCTTTTTATAGCAAGAGGTCAATGCTTGCTATCCTTCGATGCCCTGTTGATTTCCTGCTTCAAATATGTGTGTGTTGGGGGGGGGGGTGCACGAGCACATGTACATGAACACATGCTCTGAGCAGGGAAGAACAGGGTGAAGGGTATGGGTGGGTGAGGGAAGAGGCCTTGGTCAGAGGTATCTGAGAATTTTAGACTGGGTGCAAGGCGAATAGTCTTTATGCCCAGGGCAGAAGCAAGGTAAATGATCTAAAGCTAGACTGTCAAATCAAACTGAGCAAAATGCAGACAGGGAGCCAAGAGTCTTGGAAAGCCAATCCACGAAGAAGTTTGAAGTGAGCAGTAAGAAGTACAGAACAGAAAGAATGATCTGAGTCAAGATATATCAGGCTTTTCTGTAATTTTAAAGTCCGTGCTCAAAGCCACTGCTATGGGAGGTCTGGGAGAAATTTCACTGAGCCAGCTGGAAGCAAACTTCTCCACAAGGGTCAGGGTCCCTTTCCTCAGAGCTGGGAGTCACTGTACTCACTTTCTCTCATAAGTAATCACAGAAAGGAGGACAATTTCTCCACAGTCTGTTCATATAATTTCAGGTGACTGACAGCTGACGATTATTAGTACTGGCAGTTACCAGGAAAATAACTCCGAACAAGGAGTCAGCCTCAGCTTTCTTTGCTTAATTTCATTTTGGCAATGAATCTGTCATAGTTCTAGACCAGTGTTGTCCATGTGAAATTATATATGAGCCACAAATACAATTTAAAATTTTCTAGTAGACATATTAACACTAAGGAGAAAAAGGTGAAGTTTGTTTTAGTAATATGCTTTATTTAAGATATTGCAAATATTATTATTTAAATATATAATCAATATTAAAATTAAAAGAGATTTACTTTATTTCTTACTAAGTCTTGGAAATCCAGTGTGTATTTTATACTCACAGCACGTCTCAATCTAGATTACCCATAGTTCAAGTGCCCAATAGTCACTAGTGGCTAGTGGCTACCATAATAGTGTAGCTATAGACCATTTAGAAAAGCTTCCAGAATCAGGTACAAACTAAAAACACATTAGGCCAGCTATGTGATAAGTATTTAAGTGTTCACTAGTGCCAGGCATTATACTAGGATGAGGGTTATTGTGGTAACCCTGGCAGACATAGACCCTGCCCTCACAGAAATCATCTATGATTTTATTACCATGCTTAGTATATAAGTAAATACTGATACTGCCTAAAAATGTATCCCATTGAAAGAGAATGAAAATGTCTGAACTTGATAGCTGAGTGCAAACTAGAGATTATATAAATGCTAAGATGGAGCAATAAAAATTGCAAAATATGCAAAATAGGCTTTGTTTTTAGGGATAATTAATTGTATTCAATAACTAATGCTTCAAGAACTTGACTTTCTTATATTATGCTTTTTCTCCAGGTAAAATTACTCTAGATAATATTCTAAGTTGACCCTCAGAATATCTTTGAAAGCAGACCTAGAGTAAAAAATATACACTTAACAAATGAATGAATAAATCAATGTGAATGAAAGGCTTTGTTTTCATCCTGACCTTTCTCCCTTGGCTAACTTTAAAGAATAAGTTCTCATTTGAAAAGTCTGTGTTTGATATTCAATCTGGTAAGGCTTATCCCATATAATCAGTAAGACACAAACAGAGTATCACTGGGTTATAATTAGCCACATTTCCTTTTGTTGGTATAGGCCTGATGTTTTAACAGATTTCACTCTTTCAGCTATTAATGGCTATGTGCCTGAGAGTATACCCACACTAGGGTTCTGCTTTGATGACACCGTCCAGTGGCACTTCTGCAGCGTGGGAACCCAAAATGACATTTTGACCATTCACTTCACTGGGCACTCCTTCATCTATGGAAAGAGGCATGAGGACACCTTGACCCTTTTCCCCATGCAGGGGGAATCCGTGACCGTCACAATGGATAACGTTGGTAAGGCTGGGATATTTAGAGGGGATCCTCTGCTCTGCCTGCCCTGCTCCAGCTCTTCAGACTACCACGCTGCCCGGGCTTCTCTCTCTCATTCCTGGCGGGCTTTCATGATTTCTACTGGGGGAATTGATTACTCAAATGGGCCAGTCCTTTTTCATGCATTTCATTTATCCTTCTCTGGGCTAAGTGAGAAGCAAAGATATAACAGTAAAAGGATCAGGCATGACTTTGAGGAGAAAATGTGAGCATTCAGCCACAGCGCATCTCTTTCATCAAAATGCCTTTTTCAGCTTTTTAAGATAGCCATCCCACACTAGGGTTAGCAATAATCCAATATAATGCCTTAGAGGCGGGCTTCACAGATAGCTATCATGGGCTTTGGAATCATCAGACCCAGGTTCAAAACCTGCTCTGCTGCTTGCTATCTGTGTAACCTTGGACAAATTACTCCACCTCACTGAGCCTCAGTTTATTAATCTGAAAAACAGAACAATAACACTTTATAGAGTTGCTCTGACATTCATTGTAATATATGCCAAGTACCTAGGACTCAGTAGATAATCGACATGTTATATCTATGGAAGACTTGCCAGGAAATCACATACCATTTCAAAGAGATTCAATATTGTCCTGGATCCACTTGAATTATTTATTCCTTAGAAATATCTAGATGTTTCTTATTTCTTGGGAAACAATAGGAACAAAAGAAACAATAAGATGCTTCTTATTTCTTATTTCATCATCTTTCACCTAACTTCAGCTCTCTAACAAAATGTGCAACTCACAGAGGTTTGATATCAAAGGCCATTTCATTCTTGGGCTTCCCAGGTGGCTCAGTGGTAAAAAGCCCACCTGCCAATGCAGGAGACATAAGAGACCTGGGTTTGACCCCTGGGTTGGGAAGATCCCCTGGAGAAGGAAATGGCAACCCACTCCAGTATTCTTGCCTGGAGAATTCCATGGACAGAGGAACCTGACAGGCTATAGTCCATGGGGTCGCACAGAGTCAGACATGACTGAAGTGACTTAGCACACACACACATTTCATTCTTAATTCATCTCTTTTTGAATATATTCTAAAACAGTGACTCTCAAACTATTTGCGCTGAAAGTTTTTTCTCCCTAATCTGCACCGACCAATACTCTGGGTCCATATCCTGTCAAATGAGATCAGTGTGCTGATCACACAGTTGGATGTCATGGAAATGTGAAGATTGCAAAAAGGTTTCCTATACCCTTTCCTCTTGATTTCATTCCTTATGTCCCTGTGGAACAGTAACCAGCAGTTCACAGATCAGTTGTGGTCCACAGACCACAGTATCCCTAATGAAAGTTCACTGGAAATTATCTGCTACAATGGACCGTAGGGTTTTTAATATCTTTTTCTGTACTCAGAGTTCTCTATTCTGTCTGTTTCTTTTTTGTAGGAACTTGGATGTTAACCACCATGAATTCCAATCCAAGAAGCAAAAAACTACGGCTGAGGTTCAGGGACGCTAAGTGTATCCGGAATGATGATGATGACTCCTATGAGATTACATATGAAACTTCAGGATCTACAGCCAAGACTACAAGGAAAATGCGTGATTCTTCAGAAATTGAAGATAAAAATGATGCTGACTTTGATTACCAGGACGAACTGGCTATAACATTAGGACTTAGGTCATTCAGAAATTCATCACTGAATCAGGAGAAAGATGAGTTCAATCTTACTGCCCTAGCTCTGGAGAAAGACTCTGAATTCATTCCTCCAAGTGCCAACAGAGCTCTTGGTTCAAATTCTTCTTCCCCAAGTCATATTAGCAGGCTTATTGCCAACAACTTTGCAGAACCTCTGAAAACTCTTCTGCATCTTGAAGCCCCTGCAGCTGGTTCCCCCCATGCTGGCTTAGATAAGAACTCAGCTCTCAACCCTCCCATGGCAGAGCATTCCAGCCCTTATTCTGAAGACCCTAGAGAAGATCCTCCACTCTCAGATGTCACAGGGATAAGCCTACTTCCTTTTGGCAAAGGATTCAAAAATAAAAAACCTGCTGAACATCAAAGATTCCAGGCAGGAAGAGGCCGAGCAGCAAAGCGTAGGTTCTCCCAGATGGAATTCCCAGCACATAAAACCAGGACACATTTAAGCCAAGACAACTCTTCTTCTTCTAGAATGGGGCCCTGGGAGGACATTCCCAGTGATCTGTTACTCTTACAACAAAAGGATCCATCTAAGATTCTGAATGGAGAATGGCATTTGGTTTCTGAGAGAGGCAGTTATGAAATAATCCAAGATGCTAATGAAAACAAGACTGTTAATAAGTTGCCCAGCAGCCCCCAGAATGCCTCAAGGACTTGGGGAGAAAACATCCCTTTCAAAAACAGTCATAGAAAGCAGAGTGGCCACCCGACATTTTTGGTAACTAGACGTAAACCTCTACAAGAAAGACAGGATAGAGGAAATAGTAGATTGAAGGAAGGCCTTTCGTTAATTAGGACACGAAGAAAGAAAAAGGAGGAAAAACCTGCATACCACGTTCTTCTATCTCCAAGGAGTTTTCACCCTCTGAGAGGAGAGGTCAATGCCTCATTTTCAGACAGAAGACATAATCATTCATTGTTACTCCATGCGTCCAATGAAACATCTCTTTCCATAGACCTCAGTCAGACATTCCCTTCTATGAATGTGAGCCTTGCAGCCTCACTTCCTGACCATGACCAGACCTCACCAGATGACACCAGTCAGACAAGCCCCGCTCCAGGTCTTTATCCGACAGTGAGCCCAGAGGAACACTATCAAACATTCCCTATTCAAGACTCTGATCCAACACATTCTACTACAGCCCCCAGTGACAGATCTCCCACACAGCCCAGTCAGATACCCGACTATGACGTAAGAAACATGGGCATCCCTACTGATGTGAGTCACATTTCCCCTTCCTTGGAACTTGAAGTCTGGCAGACAGCTACCTCTCTAGACCTCAGTCAACCATCCATCTCTCCAGACCCTGGCCAGATGGCCGTCTCTCCAGACTTCAGCCCAGAGTCTCTCTCTCCAGATCTTGGCCAGATGGCCCTCTCTCCAGACCTCAGCCAAGAGTCTCCCCCTCCAGACCCTGGCCAGACGGCCCTCTCTCCAGACCTCAGCCCAGAGTCTCCCCCTCCAGACCCTGGCCAGACGGCCCTCTCTCCAGACCTCAGCCAAGAGTCTCCCCCTCCAGACCCTGGCCAGATGGCCCTCTCTCCAGACCTCAGCCAAGAGTCTCCCCCTCCAGACCCTGGCCAGACGGCCCTCTCTCCAGACCTCAGCCAAGAGTCTCTCTCTCCAGACCTTGGCCAGACGGCCCTCTCTCCAGACCTCAGCCAAGAGTCTCCCCCTCCAGACCTCGACCAGCTTGATCTCAGGCAGACATCACCTCCTCTAGATCTTGATCAGACATCCCACACTTCTGAATCTAGTCAGTCATTGCCTCTTCCAGAATTTGGTCAGACTTTCCCTTATGAAGATATTGGTCAGATGCCATCTCCTCCACCAGACTCTACACTAAATAACACTTTTACACCAGAAGAATTTAATCCACTGGTTGTAGTAGGCCTCAGTAGAGATGATGGAGATTACACTGAAATTATTCCAAGGCAGAAAGAAGAGAGCAGTGAAGAAGACTATGGTGAATTTGAGTTTGTAGCCTATAATGACCCATACCAAACTGATCTTAGGACAGACATCAACTCCTCCAGAAATCCTGACAACATTGCAGCATGGTACCTCCGCAGCAAGAATGGAAACAGAAAAACTTATTACATTGCAGCTGAAGAAATATCCTGGGATTATTCAAAATTTGTGCAAAGGTTTGACCAGTTCTTATATTCTCATTTTTTTCCACTAAAGCTAAAAAAGTAATTACACCAATCTAAGGAGATGCTTTTGGACAAATCATACTAAGTATAATTTAGTTCCCCTATATAGTGCAACTTGGCTTAGACTGTTTCCATTGTCAATTCCAAGATAAGCTTTTCTACTTCAGGTGACATCTGGACAACACAAGAGCCATCACTGTGAGAAGTCTTTGATATGCTGTATTTAAATCAGCACCCTCCTCTCCCTTCTTTTCTCATCAAAGATGTTCCTACTCTTTCTTGCTCCAGTGCAGAACCCAATCTATCAATGTTGTTGTTGTTTAGTTGCTCAGTCATGTCTAACTCTTTGTGATCCCATGGACTATAGCCCACCAGGCTCCTCTGTTCATGGGATTTCCCAGGCAGAATACTGGAGTGGGTTGCCATTTCTTCCTCCAGGGATCTTCCCCAACTAGGGATCAAAACTGCATCTCCTGTGTCTCCTGCATTGGTAGGCAGATTCTTTACCACTAGCACCACCTGTGAAATAACTTATCAATAGCTATAGGATAATCAATATTATTTCACTGAAGTTGGCGTCAAATCTAAATTTGTGATGTAGAAATCTCCTTTTGCCATTACTTAACAAAAACATTTTTAAATTGTTTACTGATCAGTATGAAGTATATACCATCTTGGTGAAGATTAAGTCAAATTCCATGTGATTCCAGTAGCAGAGGTCAAGGGTATAAAGTAGCTTAGAAGCAAAAGGCAAGTTTATACCCTCAATTGAGCCATTCATTAGATTATGACTCATCTCGATTGGAACTTTTATTTTAACTTGGTTTATATCATCACTCAGTTAATAATTCTTTGTGTGTGTGTGTGCTCAGTTGTGTCTGATTCTTTGTGACCCCATGGACTGTAGCCTGCCAGGCTCCTTTCTCCATGGAATTCCCTAGGCAAGAATACTGGAGTGGGTTGCCATGCTCTCCTCCAGAGGATCTCCCCAACCCAGGAATCGAACTTGCATTTCTTATGTCTCCTACATTGAGGAGCAGGTTCTTTACCACTAGCGTCACCTAGGAAGCCCAGTAACTCCTTAATGAGGGCTTATTCTCTCCTAGGCATTGTGCTAAGTGCTGAGACGATAAAAGAGAATATAAATGCACATGACTCTTGCTCTGATGGAACTTGTGTCTAGCTGGGCAGGTAGATATGAACCAAGTACTCATATAAATAAGTGTAAAAAAAAATAACCATGATGAAGACCAATAAGGAAAGGTGACTGATGGTGATATGAGAAGTGGGAAGTCTGACTGGAAAAGTAACATTTGAGTTGAGATCTGAAAATGAACAGGAGGTAGAGAGTGGAGAGCATTCTAGACAGAGAGAACAGCATGATGAAGGCCCTGGGGAAGGAGGAAGCCCTGAGACTGAAGGCCTCTGTAGCTGGAGCTCAAGATGAGGGTCTGTGCTAAGAAAGTGTTTGCCTAGTTATGTAGAGATAAGATACTACTAGGCTTTGTGGGCCCTGGGAAGAATTTTGATGTTTTTGAAAGAGCAGTGAGAAACCCTTGAAAAGTTTTAAGTCACTTCTAGTTGATTGGAGTATTTGCAGTCTTTTTAACAAAGGAGTTACACCAAGTGGGCCCCAAGATCCACTTCAGCTCTAACATTTTAGGGTTCTAGCCACTTTTCAACCATAGAGTTGAAGGAGTTGATGCAATTTTGTAAGTGGATTGACTTACAACAGAGAGTTTTTAATGGATTGACATGCATTTTTAAAAGTTACTTTTCATTTTAATTTGCTCAAGTGTGGAAAACCACATTGGCCTGGGTTCTGTATTCTGAGATGACAATATAGAGAAAGAAGAGAAAGGGGTACAAGAAGCAACTACAAATTCTTGGGGATAGCTGATGACATGGTAGCTGATGGCCATGTTTATACTGTCCAAATAAAGCCTATAGCTTTCACAAAAGCTAGCTGTTACCCTAATAAATTAAAATCAAAGTGCAACTAGAGTAAGCAAACACAACACATGAAGTGATTCAGAAAAATTATTTCATTAATCTGATGCCTGACATTTCCATATTAAAACTCTGTGAGTTTAAGAGACTTTCTCCTGTGACTTCCTATTCAAATGTAACACCCTTTACTATATGAGAATAACTAGTTTATCTGGGGACTGCTAAGCAAGTTCCTGAGGGAGTAAGGTTTCCTAAAATGTAAAGAGATGAAACCAGTTTCTTCAAAATCCTATGTCCCATTCCAGATATGCAACCTTTTTAATGGCAAAGTTGTCTTGCTCCTCCCCATGTATGTTGTCTGGGAGAATCTCATGGACAGAGGAGCCTGGCTGGCCATAGTCCATGGGGTCACAAAGAGTCAGACATGACTGAAATGACTTAGTACACACACTCATGCATGTTCCAGGGGACTGTATACCATGCTTAGAGTCTGGAAGAATGGGATTAATAGGGGAGCAAGACTAGAAGGAAGGCAGAATGGGATTCTCTAATGATGGCTCGTATTGTATAACATATACCATGAGATTGATGGGTGAGCTTGTGGCCTGTTTCCCAGACTCTTGGAGAAGGAAATGGCAACCCATTCCAGCATTCTTGCCTGGATTATCCAATGGACTGTAGCCTGTCAGGCTCCTCTATCCATGGGGTCACAAGAGTTGGACACGACTTAGCAACTAAACCACCCAGACTCTAGGGAAGTTTAAGATTCAGTAGGAAAGTTTGATGTGCTCTAGCCCCAGACTGAGCTGGTGAACTACATGCAGAATAATGTGATTTAGCAAAAGCAGACGTGGGGAGAGTGGCTACTTTCAGAATATAAAACACCCACCCATCCAGTGGCCTTTACAGAGGTGATCCTCTAAATCAACTGACCGTTACCATCTGCCTGTCCCAAACCCTGGCACTATTCCATTGCATGACTTTCTCTATTTTTAAAATTAAAATCTGCCATGTTGATATCTGATAATATTTGTCATTCATTAATTGCAGTTGTTGCTGTTTAGTCACTAAGCTGTGTCTGACTCTTTGCGACCCCATGGACTGTAGCCCACCAGGCTCCTCTGTCCATGGGATTTCCCAGGCAAGAATACTGGAGTGGGTTGCCATTTCCTCCTCTGGGGGATCTTCCCAACCCAGGGATCCAACCCACATCTCCTGCATTGGCAGGCAGATTCTTTACTGCTGAGCCACGTGGGAAGCCTTATTCATTAATACATAAAATAAATATCTGCTTACTCTTTGCCAGGTACCTTGCTAGGCACTGGAAATAAAAATTATAAGCAAGCTAAGCACAGTCCCTGATTTCACGGGGCTTTCACTCTAATGCTAGAGTCAGATTTTAATAGATAAGCTCACAAACAAATAATATATAATTTACTATATATATGATAGAAACCCTATAAGAATACTACAGGGATTTACTATATATATTACAGTAATTTTGTAGAAATGTAAGGGATATTAGAGAGAGATTTGATCCAGTCTAAAGGGTCATAGGAGGATATGCTTAGAAACAATATGTGAGATGGGAGCTGAATGATATTTACTGGCTTATGATTTTAGTCACTTATATTTTGACTCATTTGCTCATCAAATATTTTCAAATATCTTGTTTATACTAGATGCTATGTTCAGAAACAGATCATTTCCTCAACTCTTTGAATGGTCTTTAATTTGTCCTTTTAAACAAATGCTTTCATTTGTTTAATGAAACAAAAACTTTCATTTCAGTGAAGACAATGATGATATTCCAGAGGACACCGTATACAAGAAAGTAGTTTTCCGAAAGTACGTTGATAGCACTTTTACCAAACTTGATCCTCAGGGGGAGTATGAAGAGCATCTTGGCATACTTGGTCCAGTCATTAGAGCTGAAGTGGATGATGTTATCCAAGTAAGTTATCTTTTGAGCACTGATAAAATCAGAGGAATTTCTACAAGCACCGGAGGGCTGTAGAGATGGAAGTGGCAAGAAAGCTATAGGTGACTTACTTATTTTCTAAAATTAACAAATAACTACATTTCTTTTCAAGACTCCTTACCAACTCACTTGCCACTCTTCAAGAAAAAAAAAGAAATGATCTCATAATTGTATTTCTTCCCCTGCCAAGTTCCTGTTCATTCTATATGGGCCAATTTCATCTCTGAAGAAACTTTCTTGAATTCTCCCAACCTCTCCTAAACATTCAACTGAATTGCTCCTCCCAGGCATTCCCACCAAATCCCATCCACACTTTGTTTACAGCACCTTCTGTCTCCAGATTTTTAACTGGAATTCACATATGCATATCTCTTCACACCAGTAGCTTGAAATCTTACTGTGAGTAAAACCAAAGCCTAATTCATTTTCAGATCTGTAGCACTGATCTTTATAATTTCATTTGTAGATAATCTTTGAGCCTAAAAACAAACCTGTTTTGGTGTTTCTGGAGAAAACTACATGGGCCCTCTCTCATTGGATGGTTGTAAAATTAGATTAAACAATACACAAAAATTACTTTGCAATTCAAAGCATTCAATATATCTTAGATTCAATTGAATAGCCATCCAGTTTAGCCCATAATGCTGACATTCTGGGGGTTGGGCTTTATTAAGCTTAAATACATTTGTGAATCATTCTTTTCTTTTTAGGTTCGTTTTAAAAATTTAGCATCCAGACCATATTCTCTTCATGCCCATGGGCTTTCCTATGAAAAATCATCAGAAGGAAAGACTTATGAAGATGACTCTCCTGAATGGTTTAAGGAAGACAATGCTATTCAGCCCAATAGCACTTATACATATGTATGGCATGCCACTATACAATCAGGGCCAGAAGACCCTGGATCTGCCTGTCGGGCCTGGGCCTACTACTCAGCAGTGAACCCAGTAAGCATAGCCATTGAAAATTTTTGTTGTTCCCCTAAGTTGAGTCCATCAAATGGAAATTTCATGATTATTTCCTAGTAAATATCTGTCCTGCTTTCCATGAGGAATGTGTGAGGATCAGGGTCCACAGTCAACTGCTACCAAAACCAAGGACTCTCCATGCAGATCTTCAGAAGACAGTGAGAAGCATTTGTTCAGTGGAAAGGAGGAAGGATTACTTAAATGGTTAGCCCTAGTTAGAGTGACTGCCTTTACAGAGGAAGATGTTTATCTGCAACCTCCTTGAATAAGTATTAGCTTTCTTCTGCTTTTCTTTTTTTTAAATAAAAAAACTATAAATTCAGGACTCCCCCATTTTGATGGTGATAGAGCATAGACTGAGATTTCAATTTCTATCCTATCACTTACTGTGTAGCCCTAGGAAAGTTACTTGATCTCTCTCAGCCCCAGTTCCCAGAGTTAAAAATGAGGCAACAGCACATAGCGTGTGGAGTAGGCACTTGGTAATATTTGTTCAATGAATTTATTTTTTACCATATAGGATTGTTGTCAGAATTAAATAAGTTACTACAGGCAAAATAGTTAACCTAATAGATGCTCAATAAATAGTATTTATAATAGTGTCCCTATCATTATCATCACCATAATTATCATTACTACCATGCTGAAATAAGGGATTAATCAGAGGGAGGCAATATGAGCATCACAGAATTAGACAATAAATATCCAGGTTTATTAAGCTATAATTCATTTATAATCTTCAAATTCAGAGTCTGTGAGGTCTCCTTTTCAATAGGATCAGTGATTGTCAGAAGAGCAAAGAAAATCGTGAGAAACCATGAATGTATGCTGTCTGTTCTTCCTGTCTTCCAGGAAAAAGATATCCACTCGGGCTTGATAGGGCCTCTTCTGATCTGCCGAAAAGGGACACTTCATAAGGAGACCAACATGCCTGTGGACATGAGAGAATTTGTCCTACTTTTTATGGTCTTTGATGAAAAGAAGAGCTGGTATTATGACAAGAAGCCCACAAGGTCTTGGAGACGTGCATCCTCAGAAGTAAAAAACTCCCATGAGTTTCATGGTATTTTCCTCTGACTTTGATCTCATCTCTGAACCAGCTTACTGGGTGACAGTGATTCCTGCCCACAGGTCTTCTCAAAATCAGACATAAGATGCTTCTGTGGAAACAGGAGCTCTAACTTAAACCAGATCCTTAAATGTCCACGAGGCTGATGTCACCTGGCAGGTGACAGTGTAGGTGAAAGAGAGCAGACAAATCTGAAAGATAGCAGAGCTTTCTTTTCTCTTCTCCTACCGTCTCTAGGCCTTTCAGCCCAGGATGCTTGGTTTTAGGGTAGGAAGCACATCCTCTGAAAACCTCTTAACCCAGTGGGAAAGCACAGACTGCAGAATCAGACAGGCTGTCTAGTGGCTATGTCCTTTACCTGCTGAGTACCCTCAAGGCCCTGCTTCCTGATTATTCAAGGAAAGCCTAAAATGCATCCTGTTTAATTTTAGTTTTGAATGTAATGTCATCTAAATTGCTGTAATTTGGTAATCTTCCACCTTCGAACTTAACAGGGTATTTGATAAGCAGATCACCTATGCCTGGCCTCTGCAGTATGCACTAAGTAAATATGTGTTGGATTAATAAATAAATGAATGAATTCTATCACTCAGTTAAGTTCAGCAAATGTTTATTGAGCACCTGCTACTTTGAGCATCTTTTCTTCTCTATCCTGATATAATGGTTTGACCTAATAACTGCTGGAGATAACCTTTATTCTTAGGAAATCTATTCACAGAAACTAAGATGAGGAGGTGAGGCTGATGTTATTAGGATGTAGACAGGTGCTCTCATACCTGATATAATTTTAAGGGGGCCAAAATGATCTCAACTCTTCTCCCTCAAAAAATTCTCCCTCCAAAAATTCATTTGCTTGGTTCCTGAAATTCCACAATAATTCCTTTAACTTTAGAAAAATAAACAACAACAGCTACCACCACTACAAAACTTCCCTCACTTCAGTCCCAATTAAGTGCAAGATGGCCCTAGGCTTTATCATTAAAATTTTATATGTACTCTTTTCTAACCAGGTTTATCAGATGCTTAAAAACATACACACTTCAGTAAAGGTAGAGTTGATAAAGTCTGAGAACCCTGGACATCCCAGCTGGGAAAGGGGCAGAGGAGTACTCAGACAAATGAGAGGATAAACATGAATCTCTAAGGTTGGTGGGTCCAACAAAAATAAAGTGCAACTTCCTAACTTTGCCTGGAATTCTCTCTGAATTTCAGAGGCCTTAGGGTGATACACTGCATATTCCCTTACTTACCCTCTTTTCTCTAAAGACTAGAGTTCACTTTTCTGCCCATATTAGTTCTTATCTTTTAAGTAGCCCAGGAAAATTCATATTATAAATGTAAAGAATAAATGGATAAAGCACAGAACAGGAAACATGTAAATTTGAGGAAAAGAGTGATAAACTGCCTGGAAAGGGGACTCACCCACACTTCTGCCGCAGACTGGTGAGAGGAGGAGAAGTGGTTCTGCTTCAGTCTCTCACTGATATTAGGAACTGAAGGCGGTCTCTTACTATGCCTGGGCAGGGTTGGGGGGTGGGTAGGCATGCAAGTAATAAAGAAGATGGGTGGTGAGTGGGAGGCCCCATATTTCCTTACCAGCCTCCCTCCTGGTAGACAAAGATTTCTAATTGACTGCAACTTTCTGTCCTTTCAGCCATCAATGGGATGATCTACAACTTGCCCGGCCTGAGAATGTATGAGCAAGAGTGGGTGAGGTTGCACCTGCTGAACTTAGGCGGCTTCCGAGACATTCACGTGGTTCACTTTCATGGCCAGACCTTGCTAGAAAACGGCACTCAACAGCACCAGTTAGGGGTCTGGCCCCTTCTACCTGGTAAAATACTTGGCAATGAAAAGAGGTCCCGGTAACAAATGGCGAGGCTGTAACTTAGCATCTGTAACTCCCTCCCATTCCCTCTTTGTGCATCTCCTTCCAAAGCAGTCAGGCATGGGCTCTGACACAGATCCTGGGCAAAGCTATATTCCAGACCTGCATGCAGAGTACAGAAGACTCGGCCAGTGTCTGCACTGTTTGCACCACAGCACAGACTAGATCTGCAGCCCAGCTTGGTTCTACGGAGATGCTATGTCTAGTGAAGGTTCTTCCAAGCCTTTATGTGTCATGCAGGCCAGGTCTTAAGCAGATTACAAAACGAATCCCACAAGGATCAGGCATCTAAAACATTCCACTGGGCAGAGATCAGAGACTAACCAGGATTTCAGTGTTCTTGAATTCTACTCCTCAGTCTTATCACCCTGATATCTGTGGGCTGTCGGAATCTGAATCTTAAACTGACTTATGAAATGAAGAATATATTTTTAAATGATTATAAAAGCCAAAGAATAATAAAGGTATTTAAATCTTTTCATATGCAAAATAATGACTAGGTTTAAACAAACTCCAACCTTCAAAAAGGATGTTTATGTCCCAATGAATTGCTTGTAGGTGTGTGACTAGGGGTGTGTTTGATACAACTGATCCTCAAACTGTAGTGGGCATAATAAAAAACCTACAAAGCTGGTTAAAATGCAGATGCTTTAAAGAGAGATTTTGCTCTCAGAGACTTTGATCTGGTAGAACTTGGGCAGGAGCCCAGCAGTCTGCATTTTTAATAAGCAGCGTACCTTCCACAAATGGTATCTGAGAAGCTAGTCAGGGTACTTCCTTGATAGGATTTAGAGTGAGGAAGTTGCCCTGTGAATCAGCCTCAGAAGTAGGCACACTAGTCCAAACAGGCCCGATGTGGTTAAGGATGGGGGAAGATAGGCTCCCCAGGTGGCGCAAGGGGTAAAGAACCCGCCTACCAATGCAGGATACATGGGTTTGATCCCTGGGTTGGGAAGATCCCCTGGAGGAGGACATGGCAACCCACTCCAGAATTCTTGCCTGGAGAATCCCATGACAGTGTAGCCTTGTCAGCTACCATCCATGGGGTCACAAAAGAATTGGACAGGACTGAGCGACTAAAACAACCAACAAATCACACACTGAGTAAGCTAGAGCCTCACAGCAGGAGGTTCCTTGTAATTTCTGCCTATTTACTTTGAATGCAGAGTTCCAAAGAATAGCAAGGAGAGATAAGAAAGCCTTCCTCAGCAATCAATGCAAATAAATAGAGGAAAACAACAGAATGGGAAAGACTAGAGATCTCTTCAAGAAAATTAGAGATACCAAGGGAACATTTCATGCAAAGATGGGCTCGATAAAAGACAGAAATGGGATGGACTTAGCAGAAGCAGAAGATATTGAGAGGTGGCAAGAATACACAGAAGAACTGTACAAAAAAGATTTTCACAACCCAGATAATCACGATGGTGTGATCACTCACCTAGAGCCAGACATCCTGGAATGTGAAGTCAAGTGGGCCTTAGGAAGCATCACTATGAACACAGCTAGTGGAGGTGATGGAATTCCAGCTGAGCTATTTCAAATCCTGAAAGATGATGCTGTGAAAGTGCTGCACTCAATATGCCAGCAAATTTGGAAAACTCAGCAGTGGTCACAGGACTGGAAAAGGTCAGTTTTCATTCCAATCCCAAAGAAAGGCAATGTCAAAGAGTGCTCAAACTACCACACAATTGCACTCATCTCACACGCTAATAAAGTGATGCTTAAAATTCTCCAAGGCAGGCTTCAGCAATATGTGAACGGTGAACTTCCAGATGTTCAAGCTGGTTTTAGAAAAGGCAGAGNCATGTATGGATGTGAGAGTTGGACTGTGAAGAAAGCTGAGTGCTGAAGAATTGATGCTTTTGAACTGTGGTGTTGGAGAAGACTCTTGAGAGTCCCTTGGACTGCAAGGAGATCCAACCAGTCCATCCTAAAGGATATCAGTCCTGGGTGTTCACTGGAGGGACTGATGCTGAAGCTGAAAATCCAATACCTTGGCTACCTCATGCGAAGAGTTGACTCATTGGAAAAGACCCTGATACTGGGGGGTCTGGGGGCAGGAAGAGAAGGGGACAACAGAGGATGAGATGGTTGGATGGCATCACCGACTCAATGGACATGGGCTTGGGTGGACTCCAGGAGTTGGTGATAGACAGGGAGGCCTGGCGTGCTGCAATTCATGGGGTCGCAAAGAGTTGGACACAACTGAGCGACTGAACTGAACTGAATAGGACACTACAGAAAGAATGACTGAAGTGACTTAGCACTCTCGCACATGGGGGTAAAAGGGGTTCTGTTTGTTTGCAACACACCAGTTTCTCATTAACAAAGCTATCAAAAGCCACTCTATTAAAATCAGGGACAGAAAGGGTTAGGTCAGGCTCACCCCTAACTTCTCACCAAGTAAGACCAGATCAGTTATCCCTTCCACAAGCCTGGGAGAAGTGGGTCAGGGAACTGGCCCACTTAAATCTTCACACCTAACACCTGCATTAGAGAGTAGAAGGCTGGAGATCTTTTTTTAGTGTGTCTGAGGAGGATGGTGATCAGTTATTACTTTTTATTCACAATCTAGGAAATGGTCACAAATCATAGTCAATAGAATTTAAGTATTAACTGGTGGTAGGAAATGTTAACTACCAGAATGAATAATCAGAGGTTTCAGAAATTTCATTCTTTCAGTGCTTTTCTGAAACAATATTTGTACACCTCTATCTAAAATGTAAACTTTATAGAAAAAATTAAATATGGGGGAAGGATGTTTTATTTTAATTTTCTCATATAAAAAAGAAAAACTAGAAAAATGAAGAGAAGGAAACATGTACAATATTTGTGAGGCCCAATGACTATCATTCAAGGTTGCTTTGATAAGCTGCATTATGTACAGGTTAACTTGTAACATGATATTTAGATAAATGAAAAATTTCTTTTTGTAAGGGGTACTGGAGATTTTTTAAGGTCCCAGGGCAATTTGTGTTTAGTGAGTGTGTGTGAGTCATTGTTTTGATACACCTGTAATACTGCCTAAAGAGAAATGGCTAACTCAAGTTATATTCTAAATCACTTGCTATGCAGAGATTTTAGGATTCTTTGGTAGGAGTCAACCAGTGTTACCTGTTAATCTTTGGGTATGCAATGTTGTCTTTTATTTTAGGTTCATTTAAAACTCTTGAAATGAAGGCATCAAAACCTGGCTGGTGGCTCCTAAACACAGAAGTTGGAGAAATTCAGACAGCAGGGATGCAGACACCATTTCTCATCGTAGACAGAGGTATCATCCAAGAGCCACGTTATTTTTTTGTTTTAGCAGGAGAGTACCTGTTCCTAGAATATCACCAAGTTTTAGATTGGAAATATTCAACTCTGAGAACTCTGACATGACAGAGGCATGATCTGTAGTAGTAATTCCTTTTATTCCAACCTAGAGTCTGACTATACTGCAAACATCAGTCTGCTAGGAATCTTAAACTAAATGGTTCAAACCAAAGGCCTTCCTCTCATTTGCTGAAGCGAAATAAAGCATCCTCCTTCATGATTTGTGATCCATGGGGAAGCGCATTGTGAGAAATTCTCCAGACTTCTAGAGCAGAGGAAGGGAAAGATACCAGGAATTCAGCTATGACCAAGACAGTCACTGAACTTGGCATTTTGGTATTCAAGAAACACAGTTTCCATCTGTCCATCCACTAATCCAGCTAGCCAGCTAGCCAGCACTTATTAAGCACCTGTTGAGTACCAAGCACTGTGTCAACATCCAAATAGCTCAGTGGCTAGCATTCCCTTCTTTGTTCAGGACATAAACAACATTGTAACTTTCAGGTCAATTTTTGAGAACACAATCTTATGAAGGGTAGTACTTAATATTGTAAAATGGCTTATTTTTTTTTAATGGCTTATTTTAAGATACAAAAAGATGGAAATCAATTTTAAAACTATTTGCCCTTCTGGATAAGTTGTTTTCCACTAGGGTGTCATTAATTTTCATTTCTATTAAGTATCAGTCTTGCCAGTGCATTTATGATTTTATGATCAGACATATTTAAGTTGGTTGCAACACAGATAGGTGAAAACAACTAATTACTGACCCAGAAGAGGTATATCTTTAGCCACGGAGATTTTACTTTGTTACATGTGCTTTCTAAGCAAAGTTTATTCATTGTTCTATTTCTTGTAGAATGTAAGATGCCAATGGGACTAAGCACTGGCCTGATAGCTGACTCACAGATCCAGGCTTCCGAGTTTTGGGGTAAGTAGTAGCATCATAGCCTATGAAAGGCACCTACAACCTGTGCTGTAAACAGCCTGTAAGACCATACATGATGACCCTGCCTCCATGTGTCACTGCTCCTCTCAAGGCTTTTCTCCACCACATTTTGATAGTAAAAGAGCAGTAAAGTATCTAATTACTGACCCACCAGAGGCATCATCCCTAGCCATGGAACTTTTACTTTGTTATGTGTATTTTCTAAGAAGAATTTAGTCATCACTGATTTTTTACAGAATGTAAAAGTGTCAATGGGACTAAACTGTGTAATATTCCAGCCAGAATCACAGGGTCTTACAGGCAACATAATATAGTTCCCATTAATAGACCCCTTTGCTGTGTCAACCATTCATCTATTCAAGAAATTTTTTGTTTACCCACTGTGCATCAAGAACTCCTCAGTTTCCTCTCTTTGCCTCAAACTCTTACCAAGATCAAGAGGTCAAATGTAAAGGATCAGGCATGTGTACAAGCTACGTCTCTTCAGTCATGTCCAACTCTTTGTGACCCTATGGACTGTAGCCCTCTCCCTGTCCATGGGATTCTCCATGGACTGAAGAATACTGGAGTAGGTTGCCATTTCCTCCTCCAGGGGGAAAGGATCATGAAGCTCCCATAAATCTGCCCCATATCTTTCTGTTAGGCAGGCACAATCAGCAGAAGCCACATCAGCATAACTGAGAAAAAATAAACATGACCTGTTTTCAAGAAAAGGGGGTGGGTGGTGGTTGACAGCTGTCCAAGCACAGGCCTGAAACCAAGATTTCATCATCAGGGACTGACTTAGTAGCTGAGGCCCATTTCCATTGCTTGGTTTCCTAACTAAAACAGAAGTTCCTTTAGAAACCTGATTTTCCACCGGGACTAAATTCACTTGAGAAATTGCTAGTTGGGTGTTCGTTTTGTTTTACTTCTAAATAAATTATTTTCTTCCTTTGTATTTAGGTTATTGGGACCCCACATTAGCAAGATTAAACAATGGTGGATCATACAATGCTTGGATCCCAGAAAAACTTTCAAAAGAATTGAACTCTCAACCTTGGATCCAGGTATGTCTTATTAACCTGATTATGCATGCATGCTCAGTCATGTCTGACTCTTTGCAACCCCGTGGACTATAGCCCACCAGGCTCCTCTGTCCATGGGATTCTCCAGGCAAGAATACTGGAGTGGTTTGCCATTTCCTCCTCTAGGGGTCTTCCCGACCCAGGGATTGAACCTGTGGCTCCTGCCTTGCCTGAGCCACCTGGGAAGGCCCAATCTGATAATAGTTACTGCTATTGTAATAATAAAAACGACAGTGGTTTAATAATTTCTTGTTGTTCTTGCAATGCCGTTAGGGGAAATGGCAATTTCTAGGTGCTATTGGAGAAGGAAATGGCAACCCACTCCAGGGTTCTTGCCTGGAGAATCCCAGGGACAGGGGAACCTGGTGGGCTGCCGTCTATGGGGTCGCACAGAGTCAGACACGACTGACGTGATTTAGCAGCAGCAGCAGCAGCGGCAGCATTTTACGTACTTTACATACTCAAAACTTGTGAGGTTAGTTCTAGCGATATCCTGTCTTACAGATGAAAAAAACTAAGGCACGGAAGGGTTAACTAACTTCCCAGTGTCACACACAACTAGTTTCTGGTTGAGTTTGGATTCCAATTCAGGTATCCTGTGTTGAAATATGGATTGCACCTAGCCATTTTATTAGTTTGTTTGCTGTTATTTTGTTCTAAAGAAAGTTGGCTGTACAGTGGCTTCAGGCAGTGTGTGTGTGACTTGATGACAAGGATAGTTCTGCTCAATGGCTTTGCTATATTGCAGGTAGACATGCAAAAGGAAGTCCTGCTCACAGGGATCCAGACCCAGGGCGCCAAACACTACCTGAAGTCCTACTACACCACTGAGTTCTGTGTGGCTTACAGCTCAGACAAGAAAAACTGGCGGATCTTCAAAGGGAACAGCACAAAGAATGTGATGGTCTGTGTGCACCGCTGTTTCTTCCCAAGCCTAGGGCTACTATATCTTTTTAAAAAATACCTTTTGGGTGTTACAAATACAAACGGCATTTTTAGTGTTTTATGAGGAAAAGTGATAAAGTGATGTGTCTGTGTAAACTAAACAAAAAAAATAACCTTAACTTTTGAAATTTCGAAACTCCATAAAACTTGCAAGAAAAATCTCTTTATCATCAAACTAAGTATCCAGACTTCTCAGATTGGCAGATGATATACAGCAGAATAGCTGGTTGTGTGCCTTAAAGAGCCCATGCTAAAATTTGGCCACCGATTTTCGATTTTACTCTCACATTTTATTTTGTTCTTTAGTTCAGTGTAACTGAAGGAAGCTCCAAGTGAAGGAAATAGTAGTGTTAATACTAGCAATGCTGTGAGGCAGTGTGATTCTCACGTTTCTGCTTTTTTTGTTTGTTTGTTTTTTGTTTTTTTTGCTGTCATGCCTGAGGACTGATGTCCCCCTGCTGGATCTTCCAAAGGCTCAGCCAGGGTTATTCCCAATGACCCAATTATTCCAGCCCTAATCCTTCCCCTCCTCCCTCGCCCCTCTCTCCAAAGAAAGCTATCTGAATACAAGGATCGGTCCATTATTATACTGATAAGCTTGAATCAGTTTCATTTTTTTTCTGTAAATCATTTACTATTTTACTATCTTCTATATCATCACTTAGCTATTTCTTATAATAAATCATTTGCACTATAACCTTAGAATAGATCATGAAAACCTTAAATTATGAGTCTTACCAATCAGTATTGCAGAGAGTACACAAATTAAAGTCCATAGCTTGAAGGTTTTTGCATCTATGTTCTTGAGGGTTATCTGTGTATAGTTTTGCTTCTACTGTCCTTTTGTTTTAATGTGAGAATAATACTAGCTTCATAACATAAATTAGGCAGCATGCGCTTCTATTTTCTGGAAGAGATTATCTAGTATTGATGTTAATTCTTTAAACTTTTGGTATAATTCACCGGTAAAAGCCACATGGACCTGGAAATTTCTTTTCTGGGACTTTTTAAATTACAAATTCATTTTTTAAAATAGTTACATGTTATTCATATTATCTATTTCACTTTGGGTGAATTGGGATAGCTTGTGTTTTCTCAGTCAATTGAGTCACTTCTTCTAAGTTGTTATATATATGTGTACAGGTTATTTGTATTATTCCCTTATTGTCCTTTTGATTTGTGTCGAGTCTGTAGTGATATTGCCTATTTCATTTACGATATAGGTAACATGCATCTCTTCTCTTTCTTGCTTTATCAGTCTTACTACAGATTTGCCAATTTTCTTTAATCTTTTTAAAGAACTGGCCCTTTGTTTCATTGCTCTTATCTATTGCTTTACTGTTTTCAAGGCTACTGATATCTGCTTTTATCTTCTGGCTCTTTCTGACACTGCTTTGCCAGGGAAAGGGGATGGGACACAGCCTGTTTACTGCCAGGAAGAGGTCACAGTCCATTTTCCACTTGGCCTCCTCTGTTGACACGTGAGCTGGGACCCCTCTCCTCTTTGTAGGAATGGAATAGGCTCCACTGACACTGCAAGAGTGAAAGCCTTATTATTAGATAGAAAAGATGGAAATCCTGGGTCTCTATTTTATAGTTTTCTCTGACACAAGTCCAGTGACAGTGTTGGGTGCCTCGTTACAGTCTCTTGAGCATAGGAGTCTAGGTTCCCCATCCGGCCTCTGCAGCTGTCGGTAGGGAAGGGGACACAGTGTTTTCTAACCTATGGTGTTTGGCTTGAAGTAGAACAATTGTTGTCTACAAGTTTTCAGTCTTGCTAGACTGCCCTTTCCTGGTCCTGAGGCCAGAGAAAAAATGCTTTTGCTGTTTTTTTGTTTTTGTTTGTATGTTTATCTGCACCTATTGGTGGCTCCTGATTCCTGGCTTCCTTACTTATAAGTCTGTATATGAGGTAAAAAGAAAACCCAAGGGACTGACCACCTGTTGTTCCTTGGGTCCTGAGAACCCTAGCCAGTCTGCCTTCTCTTCTCCACCTTTCAGAGTCTTTCTATGTTTTCAGTTGTACTCAGCAGGAGGAACAGGGCAAATTTCATCTATACTATCTTCCGGAAGTGGAAGTAGTCCCAGTTATCTTTTAAGACCAAATTAATTTGACTCAGGCTACCTGAAAACGTAATATTACAATACTAAATTGGATGAAAATTTTAGTATAAAATCACTTTATAGAGAATTGTTACATAACTAAAATTTCCTCTTTTCCTCTAGTATTTTGGTGGCAATTCAGATGCTTCTACAATAAAAGAGAATCATATTGATCCACCTGTTGTGGCTAGATACATCAGGATCTCTCCAACTGGATCCTATAACAAACCTGCCCTTCGATTGGAGCTGCAAGGTTGTGAGGTTAATGGTAAGGAACACAGATGCATTGTTTTCTTGCTCAGTTCAGTTCAGTCTCTCAGTGGTGTCCAACTCTCTGCAACCCCATGGACATTTTTTCACTGCTATTTATCAAATCAAGATTTGGGGCATATGGGAAAGTGAGTAGAATTCTTAGTTTTCTCCAATCACTAAGGCTCCTAGAAAAATCTCTGTGAAACACAGGTTCCATTCAAGGAATGATCTAGACTGAGACTGGTTCTAGCAGCCAGAGGGTAGGCACCATCTCTCTGAACAATGTCTGGACCATATGGACATTGCTCTGACGCTCCAAAGAAGGACCCTAGCAAAGAATGACCTCCACCAGCCCATTTTCAATAAGAACTGAGAGTCAAACTGGGTCTGACCCTTCTAAAAGCCTTCCAACCAGGTCATTCAGACTTTAATATAATAAAAGTGTCTTGCAACATTACTGGCATGTATTAGGTATTCAATAATTGTTTTTGAGAACTAAATCTGCTTCCCAACTTCCTGAAACCTTGATTGAACTCTGTCTTCTGTTTCACATTCTATGTAGAGGTACCCAAGCCTTTTCTAAGTAAGTTTCTGTTTTTCAGGGGATGTAATGTGACCTGTGGTATATATAAATCTAGGCAATCATAAATGGCAATAATAAAATTCTTCCATATATAATAAGATGCTTAAGGTTCTCATCAACTGTTCTCCCCTCTTAAAGTGGTACTTTCCAACATTTTTTACTTCAAAGCATATATAGACTATAACCTCGGTCTCACAGTCTGCAGTAAAAGAATGAAACAGACCACCCTGGGCTTGGCAGATCCAAGCACCACCGAGTTGCTCAAGGGCTGAGGGAGGAGGGAGATTAATATAAAAACATACCTAAAACTTGCTGCGGCATACCTACTGGGAAGGTACAGCACCTTCTCTCAGGGCAGAGGGAAAAAAGTACAGCTCACAGTGGAGAAAGTAACTGAACCTTGGAATCAGTTTCTTATTAAAGCAGATAATAATACAATAAACTCTTGACATTCATGAGGGATATGGAAAGGGCATTTTACCCATGCCCACATACCATGGTATATAACATCCTCCATGTAAAATGCAAATTTTGTATAAGCAGGAAAATGTGAAACAGCTCCATAGCATAGCGTGTGCATGCACAGTTATGTCTGACTCTTTGCCGACCCCATGGACTGTAGCCCATCAGGCTCCTTGGCCCATGGCATTTTCCAGGCAGGAAAACTGGAGTGGATTGCCATTTCCCCCTCCAGGGGGAGCTTCCCAACCCAGGGATCGAACCCACATCTCCTGCATTGGCAGGCAGATTCTTTGCCACTGAGCCATGTGGGAAGCCCTGAAACAGCTCTTTAAGTCATTATTTTTTTTCTTTCCACATGGGATATGATGTTAACTGGTAGTTTGTTCAGGTCACAGAGTCAAGCTACCCTAAAATGTGACATTCAACAATGCTAGTCTATTTAAAATCTCCATCTAATACATAATACAAGAAGCATTAATTTTAAAATCTCTTCACTTTCTTTATGTTTATATGATTAGTATCAACAACAGACATTCTTCTTTTAAGCCTATTTTTTCTTGGAGAAATTAAGGTATCACTTCAAGAAAATGTCTACATGACTTACTAGCAAGAACAGTGTCTCATCTCTGTGACACTTTATATACATAGGGGCTTCCCAGGTGACTCAGATGGTAAAGAAACAGCCTGCAATGTAGGAGACTCAGGTTTGAACCCTGGGTTGAGAAGATTTCCTGGAGAAGGGAATGGCTAGCCACTCCAGTATTCTTGCTTGGAGAATCCCATGAACAGAGGAGCCTAGCAGGCTATCGTCCATGGGGTCACAAAGGGTAGAACACAACTGAGCAACTAACACTTTCACTTATAAATATGGATGTTTAGGAGTACTGTCTACCTCAAAGCAGAGATCAAAGTTTCCATGACTCTCTGAAGGAGGGAGATGAGTTTAGATGTTTAGAACATGGCATTTGATGTCAGACTGCCTGGGCTCAAATCTAATTTCTGATTCTTTTCACAGTGTTACTTGAGTCAAGTTTCTTTTTCTTGCTGTGCTTGTTTTTTCATTTGTAAACTGGAGCTATTAAAGAGCATTAAGTAATACAGGTATAGACTGAAAATATCATTGCTGTGATGGTTGTTTTGTTGTTACTTAGCAATAATATTATTTGTCTCTGCTGAAGTACAAAATACAATACAAGGAGTATCCGTGGTATGTAAATAATCACATTACTTTTCTCTTGACAGGATGCTCCACACCGCTCGGTATGGAAAGTGGAAAGATAGAAGACAAGCAAATCACCGCTTCCTCATTTAAAAAGTCTTGGTGGGGAAGTTACTGGCAACCCTTCCTTGCACGTCTTAATGCCCAGGGCCGTGTAAATGCCTGGCAAGCTAAGGTGAAATGTCCCCTGTGAATGGAGTTCTCTCAGTCTTTTTGAAGAAAGCATAGGCCCTCACTCCAGGGGACACGGGAACCTGGGAAGCCAGAAGATCATCCCTTGTTTCTACAGAGTATGATCCTATGTCTGAGAACTAGGATGTGTGTTGTCTTGAGAGTTTTAGCTCAGAGAGAAGTTATCATCTCTGTGGTCTTGATTTAGATTAGGGGCAGGCAAAACTTTTCTGCAGAGGGCCAGATAATATTCTAGGCTTTGTGAGCCATGCATTCTCTGTCATAATTACTCAACTCTACTACTGTTGCAGGAAGCAGTCATCAACAATATATAAATGAGTGAGCATGGCTGTGTTCCAATAAAACTTTATTTACAGAAACAGGCAGTAGGCCAGACTGGGCCTTGGGCTGTATTTTGCCAGCTCCTGATTGAGACAACTTATATTAGCAGTAAATGATTTAGATTTGTACCATCTTCTCTTCTTTGGTTCCCTCTATAATCTAGCACTATCCTTTATTTTTTAAGCGTGTCATTAAAATTTTTTTGTTCCTGTTTTTTCAGAACTCTGTAACATTCCTTTACATTAGTGGCATGATAAAATGCTGCCAAACCAGGTTTTTAAATCTGTGATCTAAGTTTTATAAACATCTCACAGAGAGTTATATTGCCTTAGATGTTAGCCCATTGAGCAATTAAGGTAACTTAGTTCTAGGGTAACTATTAATATTGACTCGTATTTATTTCATTCTTCAACTGACCTGGAAAATCAGAATGCCATAAGAAATCAGAACAGTCCAGTCAATCAACGTAAGCCAAGTTCCCTATCTTCTATCCACCTAACACCCTCTCTTAAGAAAGTGAAGGTTGCTCAGTCATGTCTAATTCTTTGTGACCCCATGGACTATACAGTCCATGGAATTCTCCAGGCAAGAATACTGGAGCCTTTTCCCTTCTCCAGGGGATCTTCCTAACTCAGGGGTTGAACCCAGGTCTCCCGTGTTGCAGGTAGATTCTTTACCAGCTGGGCCACAAGGCAAGCCCAATAATACTGGAGTGGGTAGCCTATCCCTTTTCCAGTGGATCTTCCTGACCCAGGTTCTTTATCAACTGAGCTATCAGGGAAGCCCCTCTCTTAAGAAAGCTATACTACAATTCCCTGGACTCTCTTTAGAATTCTGTGTCCTAATCTTAAGTCAGGCCACCAGAAAGGAAAAGGGAGTTGTATGGGGCAAGTGGAGTAAACAAAAGAATTTGGGCCCCATCTTAGGGCTTCCCAGATGGTGCTAGTGGTAGAGGATCTACCTGCCAATGCAGGAGACATAGAGATGGAAGTTTGATCCCTGGATTGGGAAGGGCATGGCAACCCACTGCAGTACTCTTAGCTGGAGAATCTCATGGACAGAGAAGCCTGGTGGGCTACAGCCCATAGAGTCATGAAGACTCAGACTCACTGAAGAGACTTGGCAGGGACTCCATTTGGATGGTCTTGGGGACCAATATCTGTGCCCTGAAATTCATTTCTCACCTACCACAGAGTCATAGAATGTTAGAAAGGCAAGGGGTTTTTACAAAGCATCTGGTCCAGATTTTCCTTAAAGTCTAAACACATGCATCCATGCTAAGTCACTTCAGTCGTGTCCGACTCTGTGACTCTATGGATTGTAGCCAAGTCTAAACACAAAGGAGGTTAAATAATTTTAGTTTAGCCTGGTGGCAGAATCAGGAGTCCCACTCTCCAAATAAACAGATCTGTGCTCCTTGTACCATCTGAAGCAACCCAAGAACTCATTTTGCAATTTTGCAAAAGGGGAGAACTGAGACCCACAGAAATTAAAAGTAATAAAAGTGACAGTGTTGTATAACATTTTTATTTAATTTCTGTAATATAAATAATGAAGTGAAAGTCACTCAGTTGTGTCCGACTCTGCAACCCCATGGACTGGATAGTGGAATTCCCCAGGCCAGAATACTAGAGTGGGTAGCTGTTCCTTTTCTCCAGGGGATCTTCCCATCCCAGGGATCAAACCCAGGTCTCCCACTTTGTAGGCAGATTCTTTACCAACTCAGCCAAAAGGGAAACCCAAGAATACTGGAGTGGGTAGCCTATCCCTTCTCCAGCAGATCTTCCTGACCCAAGAATCGAATCAGCGTCTCCTGCAATGCAGGAGGATTCTTTACCAGCTGAGCTACCAGAATAGCCCTGTAATATAAATAAGATAATAAAAAATGATTATTACTCCCTTGCAATTCAGTGATGAGGGACTCTGTACTTTCCCTGCAGGGGGCATGTGTTTGATCTCTGGTTAGGGAACTAAGATCCCACATGCCATGCAAGGCAGCCAGGGAATTTTAGGTCAGAACTATTTGTTTCTCTTAACCTTCAATCAGTATAAAATGTCTTTTATAGAGCTTCTTTAGAGAGGCTGAAAATCTAAGCCAGGCATGTGCAGGTATGTGCACAAGTGTCTCTATCTCTTTTATGGTAGAGACTAAAAGATATACACGTACAAAAATCCTCTAGTTACCTATATGCATTCTGTATCATTCATACAACCTTGAAGACACAATACAACTCCAGCAGATGTCACTACAGTATGTTATAAAAATAACCCAAATTATCTAATACAGTACCTTTAAATTTAATTAATTTGCTTTAAAAATACAGTAACATGTGACTATACATATACATACATATATGTACACATACAGCCATGTACATATGTGTGATCTTGAGAAAATATATATTGGTTATTTCATACAGAATTGAACAAGACTATGTTGTTGTTTAGTCGCTAAGTTGTGTCTGACTCTGAGACCCCATGAACTGCAGTCCATCAGGCTCCTCTGTCCATGGGATTCTCCAGGCAAGAACACTGGAGTGGGGTGCAATTTCTTCTCCTGGGGATATTCCGGACCCAGGGCTCGAAGCTGCACCTTCCGCCTTGGCAGGTGGATTCCTTACCACTGAGCCACTAGGGAAGCCCAGGTGAGACTCTGGGGCAGGATGAATCTCCCAAAGATGAAAATTAATCTCAAATTATTCCAAAACTCAATTAATCTTTCTGATCCTCTTTCTCCCAGCACCTAATGCCAAACGTATGATTAGGCATTTTGTTTAGGTGAGAGACAAAATGACTACTATGGAATGTCCAGCCCCGGGTGTAGCTTTATCAAGTCTCTCAAATAACATGTTTATTTGAAATATCATAAAAGAAGAAATTGTACCTCTTCTCCTATTTGACATTAGCAATGGAAATAAAACTGGAGCTTTTCTAAAATAAGTAAGAGAGAGTATACTCTCTAGTTCTTTCCCAGATAACTCTTCAATAGTAGCATAGTAGTATTTAATTCTTTTATCTTTTCATTGTGGTAAAAGTCACATAATATAAAGCATACTATTTTAAACCATATTTACCTGTACAGTTCAGTGAACTAAGTACATTCACATTGTTGTGCAACTCTCACCGTCATCCGTCTCCCAAATTTTTCACCTTCTTAGACTGAAATTCTGTCCCCATTAAACACTAACTCCCTATTTCCCTTTCCCACTCCTCCTCACCCTATGGCCCCTGGCATCCATCAATATACTTTCTGATTCTATGACTTTGACTATTCTAGGCATCTCGTATAAGGGGAATCAAACAGTATTTGCACATAATGTATACTGCAATGCATTTTATACTATACCATCATAGTATTTTAAACCAACTTGCTTAAGAGAAAAATATTTACAGATAATTTAGCAGTTGATTTTTTTCTCAGATAAAATATATTTATTTTTTGAGCTCCATCTGTGTGCCATATATTTTAAGTACCTGGAAACAAAGCTAAGTCGCTGCCCTCAAAGAGTAAGTAATACAGGTAAACAAATAACTATTGTACAATGTGTAAAACATTCCAGAAGTTTCTAAACATGTCGATGATAAATGAGAAAGAATAGGGAAGGATTCTAGGAGAAAGAGAATTTTCAGAGATGAGACAGAAAAGAAATCCTTTGACCTCACTGCATTTCTGAGTATCTCGATCTAAAAAAAGGAAAGGTTTTAACCTCTCTCTCATCCATTGTTCTAATCATTTTCATAGGCGAACAACAACAATCAGTGGTTACAAATCGATCTGCTCAAGACCAAGAAGATAACTGCGATTGTAACACAAGGCTGCAAGTCTCTGTCCTCTGAAATGTATGTGAAGAGCTACACCATCCACTACAGTGACCAGGGCATGGACTGGAAACCTTACAGGGAGAAATCCTCAATCGTGGACAAGGTAGGTACAGGGAGATCTTGGCAAAAAGCAAACAATTTGAAAACTGCTATGATGAGAACAGTACCTCAAATTTGCAAATAGCTCTTGTATTTGAGAAGTGTGCAATGATGTGCATCACTCCTTAAGTCTTCTAAGTCCTGTACCTGGTCTTGGGACAGAGACCATGTATACTATCTTTCTGTTTTGACTGAGGCATCTACAAAATAACGAGAACAACAGGGGATGGTGTGAAGTTTAACTATCTCTGAGGAAGATGGTGAAAGAAAGGGTCATCTCAGCCTGCTTGGGCTGTGTAATGAATTATCACAGCCTGGGTGATAAACAAAAACCACTCATTTCACACAGTTCTAGAGGCTAGAATCCTAGATCAGGGTGCCACCACGGGCAGGTTCTTGGTGAGGGCAGTCTTCCTTGTTGTGCCCTCCCATGGCCTTCCTTGATGTGTGCACAGGGAGACGGAGATGCCATGAAGGCCCTACCCCCATTCCTAGTCCTGATCACCTTCCAAAGGCCCCACCTGCTAGTATCATCTCATGGAGGATGAGGGTTTGAAGACATGAATTTTGGAAGGACACAAACGTACAATCTATAACAGGGGTCTAGAAAACCTACCATATTAGCATTAGCTTAGAAATACTTGTTATTCACAGCTGATCAAACACCTACGGCCATATGCCTTTCTGTGCCATATTGTTACTGAGCAGAAAACAATTGTTATCCTTCCCCATGAGGAGATTAATTTCTTGCAAGATGAACTACTCCATCACACTCTTAAATTCCTAGCTATGTGGATTTAAAATCTTACTAGAAGCAAAGCTAAGGAGATGAACCGAATATTCCAGGAGTGGGAACTGGGCTGAAACCAGCAGGAGGGGCAATACAGGAGTAGGGGATGGATGTTTACTGCATGCTCATCATGGATTCAGCCCTTATCTCAGTTAATGGGTTTGAATCTCTCTGTCTCTCTCTAAACCCCTGGTTTGTTTTGGTGGGTTTGGTTTATTTCTCACTGTATCAGAATGTTCTCATAGTAGGGTAAACATCATTTTTATAAACAAATAGTGACTCAGTCTCCGATGTGTGTAAATCTTGGGGAACTTTCTGGGGATGATAAAAGCACACCTCAAACACAGTTTAGTTGAGGATGTAGGGCATATGACAGAAAGGGTATTAAATCATAAAAATGTATGACTGCATTTTAAATGTTAGTAATAACTAACCATAATCATTAGCTATTACTAGCATTTAAAATAAATGCAACCATGCATTTTTATGCTCATTATCTGGGACTTAATAAACACTTATCATATGTTGACATGCTCTTAAAATCTTCACAACAACTTCTACTAGGTAAAATCTATTATCTCCACTTTGTCAATGGGGAAAAAAGAGAGAATCAAAGTCTATAAGTAATTTGCTCAAAGTCACATAACTACAAAGAGGCTAAAGATGGAGGTGTTTTTGTGGCTGCTTCACAGCACCATATCAGATTTCCTTAATTTTTCCTATTTCAACTCAGATCAGTGGAGAGGTGATATCTCTAAAGAGATATGTCTGGAGTGAGATTTCATAATTGATTGAGGATCATCTTTGTGATAAGTTGTATATGCTCATTGATATCCACAGTTTGAACTAAAAAAGACAAAAATTTATCTGTAAGTTTTTTTTAACTGAAATACAGCTGATGTACAATATTATGTTAGTTTCAGTTATAAGATTTCCATACCCATTATGCCATCATTAAAGAGTTTCTCATATTTTGCTTTCAGATTTTTGAAGGAAATAATAACGTCAAAGGACATGTGAAGAACTTTCTCAACCCACCAATCATCTCCAGGTTTATACGCATCATTCCTAAAACATGGAATCAGAGTATTGCACTTCGCTTGGAACTCTTTGGCTGTGATATTTACTAGAATTGAATATTTAAAAAGATAGGAGGGACTCAAAGATATCAAACCACTTAGAGTGGGTAATGCATTTTATAGCTATTTTAAGTATTAAAATTTTTCCATTATTTCTTTTTTCTATTAGAGAATAACATTTTATATGTGAAACCTTTATGATATAACTCCTGATAACCACTAAGATGACTATTATTTCTGCATTAATTTGAATATAGATAGGAAAACACCAAGAACCAACAAGAAAAGGCTTCTCTTTCACTGATTAAAAATTTTATATAAAGTAATATTTATATAATTAACATTCATTATAGTTTTGTTAAATGCTATACACATTAATAAAAGAAGTATTACTTCCTCAAACCACTCATAAACCCAGACAACTTTCATTCCTACATTTTTCCTTAAAAGAGCTATGATTAAGAGGATAGGGAAAAAACAGTATTTCTAAATGTTTTGCTTATCTTGACAATGGAGAAAAAAGAAAAAACAATCTTACTGCATGAAAGGACAGGTATTTAAAATGCCCTGTCTTACTGACATGACAATGATTGGTCTGAACCTCCAGGAGTAAAGATATAAGTAAGCATGTTTTCAGTGGTCCCGCCAGACTGTGACTCTGGCCTGGTTTCCCTTGGGACTGATTGCATACATTGATGTTAAGGGTCAGGGATCATTAATAGGACAGATCTAAAATAAATATGGGATGGCTGAACATGTAACCGTAATTGCATTCTAGCTGGTACTATTAAATGCTTGGCACACTGTTTCAAACATAGGCTCCTCTAAAGGACGGCAAATACTGTCAAACAGACCATCGGAACTCTTGGCCCAAATGCAGCTGTTCCTGCTATACCTGGCTCCAGGCACACAGCTGAAATTCTCCCTCACTGCCCTTCTCCTTATGGCCCAGCCTCTACCTCTCCCTTCCTCCTCTCCCTTCCCCTTTCAAGCACTCCCTTCCTTGGGAACTTGGTACCTCACGGTTTTACAGATACTGTGAGACTGGGTAACCTTCTGGTAGCCTCTAAGTCACATGAGAGAGAATCACTGGCGAGGCTATCTATTTTAGTGGAACAAACCACCCTAAAACTTAGGGCTTAGAACAACCACAGATTATCTCTCCTGGTTCTGTAGGCTGCCTGGGCACAATTAACTTTATTTGGGGTCTCTAGTCATCAGGAGACTCAACTCTGTGTTGGGACAGCTGGTCCTTTGTCCCTCTCCAAGTAGTTTCAGATTCTCTCCTCATTACATGGCTTATCCACATGGTCTGTTCACTTGATGCCTCCAGCACTTGAGCTAGACTTCTTATACCATGATAGAGGCTCCCAAAAGCCAGAGTTCAAGAGGTAGGAAGCAGAAGCAGGTAGTCCTTTTAAAGCCAAGCCCAGCACAGACACAGCCTCACTACTGCTGTATTCTACTCATTCACATAAGTCACAGGCCAGTCTAGATTCAGTGTAGGATGTCACGACACAAAGGTAGTTCTAGGAGATGTAAGTCACTGGGAGCCTCTTCAGATACTAACTCCCAGAGTTACCTATTGCCCCTCTGAGTGGGGTGAGCATTATGAATGTATTCAAAAGTTTCAAACATCCACAAAACATTGACTTTCTTTATGTTTAAAATTTTTCATTTTTGAGGCATAATTGAAAAATAAAACAGAAATATATTTAAAGTGTATATGTTGGTTTGACATATGTGTGCATTGTAAAAGGATTCCCACCAGCAAGTTAATTAAAATCCCCACCACCTCACAGTTACTTTTTTAAAAAAAAAATGAGAATACTGAAGATCTCAGTATTATACAACACAATGTTATTGACTGTAGTCACCATGCTATACTGATGGTTTTCAGAATTTAATCATCTTAAATTTGTACCTTTTATCATCCTTTTCCTATTTCCTCTACCAGGAAGCCCCTGGCAACCACCGTTCTACTCCTTATTACTATAAGCTTGACTTTTTAAAGTAAGTAATATGTAAGTAATACCTTGCAGTACTTGTCTTTCTCTATATAGCTTATTTCACTTAGAATGATACCCTCCAGATTCATCCACATTGTCACAAATGACAAGATTTTATTCTTTTCATGGCTGAATAATGCCTCATTGTTTATACAGACCACACTTTCTTTTCCCATTCATCCATCTATAGATACTTAGATTATTCCTATGTCTTGGATTTTGTGAAAATGCTGTAATGAACATGGAAGTGCAGCTCTGTCTTCAAGCCAGTGGTTTTCTTTTCTTTGGACATATACTCAGAAGTGGGGTTGCTGAATCATATGGTAGTTCTGTTTCTAATGTTTTGAGGAATCTCCATACTGTTTTCCACAGGTGCTATACCAATTTACATTGCTACCAACAGTGTATAAGGGTTCCCTTTCTCTACATCCTCACCAACACTTGTTATTTCTTATCTTTTTGATAATAGTTATTCTAATAGGTGTAAGATGATACCTCATTATGGTTTTGAGTTGCATTTTCATGGTGATTAGTGACACTGAGTATCTTTTAATATACTTGTTGACCATCTATATGTCATCTTTGAAAAAGGACTATCCAGGTCTTTGCCTATTTTTAAATTCAGTTATTTGATGTTTTTGCTCTTGAGTTCTATGAGTTCTGTACATATTTAGGATATTAATCTCTTATTGATTGTGTGGTTTGCAAATATATTCTCCTGTTTCATAGATTTCTTTTCCACTTTTTTGATGGTTTCCTTTGCTGTACAGAACTTTTAGTTTTGTAAATTCCATATGTTTCCTTTTGCTTTTGCTGCCTGTGCTTTGGCAGTCATATCTAAAAAAGTCATTACCAAGACAAATGTCAAGGAGCTATCCTATGTATTTTATTTTATAAGTTTCATGATTTCAGGTCTAAAAGTCTTTAATACATGTTAAACTGATTTTTGTGTATGGTGTAAAATAGAGGTCCAATTTCATTCCTTTGCATGTGGATATCAAGTTTTCACACCATTTATTAAAGAGACTATCCTTTCCCCATTGGATATTTTTGGTGCCTTTGTCAAAAATTAATTGACCATATAGATTCATGGGTTTATTTTGGCTTTAATTCTATTCCATTGGTCTACATGTCTGTGTTTATGCCAATTCCATACTGTTTTGATTATGTGTGTACGTATGCTCAGTAGCTAAGTCATGTCCAGCTCTTTGTGACCCTATGGACTATAGCCAGCCAGACTCCTCTGTCTATGGGATTATCCCAGCAAAAATGCTGGAGTAAGTTGCCACTCCCTTCTCCAGGGGATCTTCCCAGCCCAGGAATCAAACCTATGTCTCCTGGGGCTCATGCATTGGCAGGCAGATTCTTTACCGCTGAACCACCTGGGAAGCACCCACTGTTTTGATTACTACAGCTTTATGATACAACTGAAATCAAGAAGTGTGATGCTTCCAACTCTCCTCTTTGTGTTCAAGATTGCTATAGTCATTCATTGGCTTTTGTGGATCTGTAGAAATCTTAGGATTGCTTTTTATATTTCTGTGAAAAAAAGCCATTGGAATTTTGAGAGGAAATGCATTGAATGTGTAGATGACTTTGCATGTATGAACATTTTAACAATGTACATTCTTACAATCCATGATAGAAAATATCTTTCAATTTAATTGTGCCTTTGATTTCTTTTCTCAACATTTTATACTTTTTAGCATACAGATCTTTCACTTACTTGAGTTTATTTCTAAGTATTTTTTTTATTCTGTTATAGGTGGGATTATTTTCTTAATTTTTCTTTTCAGTAGTTCATTGTACAGAGAACAGGTCAGTGTATAGAAATGCAATTAGTTTTCGTATAATGATTTTATATCCTGTAATTTTATTAAACTTATTTACTAATTCCAACAGCTCTTTAGTCGAGCCTTTAGGATTTTCTAAATATAAGATCATATCATCTGCAACTAATTTTACTTCTTCCTTTCTTCAGATTTGAATGCCTCTTTTTCCCTTGAGTAATTGCTCCAGCCAAAAATTGAACAGAAATGGTGAACATAGGCATCCTTTTCGTGTTTCTGATCTTCAGGAAAAGCTTTCAGTTTTTCATCATTGAGTATGTTAGTTGTGGCCTTGTCAGATATGCTGTTATTATGCTGGGGTGCATTTCATCCATACCTAACTTGAGAGTTTTTATCATGAATGTGAAAGCCGCTCAGTCATGTCCAATTCTTTGTGACCCCGTGAACTGTAGCCCACCAGGCTCCTCTGTCCATGGGATTCTTCAGGCAAGAAAACTCAGGTGGATTGCCATTTCCTTTTCCAGGGAATCATCCCAACCCAGGGACTGAATCCCAGTCTCCTGAATTGAAGGCAGATTCTTTACTGTCTGAGACACCAGGGAATCCATTTTATCATGAAAATATATTGAATTTTGTCAAATACTTTTTCTGCATCTATTGAAATATGATTTTTATCATTAATTTTTGTAATTTGGTATATCATATTTTGATTTGCAAATGTAGAACCAGAGATAAATCCCATATGATCATAGCATATGATCCTTTTAATGTACTGTTAAGTTTATGAAAATTTTGGTGAGCATTTTTGTATTTATGTTCATCAAGGATATCAGCCTCTAATTTTCTTTTGTATCCCTATCTGGCTTCAGTATAAGTGTAACATTGGCCTTGTAATATAAGTTCGGAATGTTCCTTCTTCAATTTTTGGGAAGGATTTGAGAAGGATTGGTATTAATTCTAATGTGGGAGAATTCGACTGTGACATCATCTGGTCAGTTTCTGGATATTTATCTTGTTCTTCTGTTGGGAATATATTTTCTCAGTTATCCCTTTTCCTTGATTCTTTGCATTTGTTTCTGTGTATCAGATAAAACGGCCACCTCTCCAGTCTTGACAGACTGCCTCCTATAGGAGATGAACCTCATGAGCCAGCCTAGCCTGAGCTCCTGGTTGCCTCTTAAACTTTTGTGATTGACTAAGCCACTTTCTTTGTTCCTAGTGCTCCCAGTAGATTGCCGGGTATAAGACCTGCCATTGTCCCAAAGGCAGTGGGAGATGCCCACATGGCTGTTTAGGGTCCTGGAGGACTATTAACTGCCTTACCCATCAGCTCTCAGTTCAGTTCAGTTCAGTTGCTCAGCTGTGTCTGACTCTTTGTGACCCCCATGGACTGCAGCATGCCAGGCTTCCCTGCCCATCACCAATTCCCGGAGCTTACTCAAACTCATGTCCATCAAGTCAGTGATGCCATTCCACCATCTCATCCTCTGCCGTCCCCTTCTCCTCTCACCTTCAATCTTCCCCAGCATCAGGGTCTTTCCCAATGAATCAGTTCTTTGCATCAGGTGGCCAAAGTATTGGAGTTTCAGCTTCAACATCAGTCCTTCCATTGAATATTCAGGACTGACTTCCTTTAGGATGGACTGGTTGGATCTCCTTGCAGTCCAAGGAACTCTCAAGAGTCTTCACCGACACCACAGTTCAAAAACATCAATTCTTTGCCACTCAGCTTTTATTATAGTCCAGCTCTCATATCCATACATGACTACTGGAAAAACCATAGCTTTGACTAGACGGACCTTTGTTAGCAAGGTAATATCTCTGCTTTTTAATATGCTATCTAGGTTGGTCACAGCTTTTCTTTCAAGGAGCAAGTATCTTTTAATTTCATGGCTGGAGTCCCCATCTTCAGTGATTTTGGAGCCCAAAAAGTAAAGTCTCTCACTGTTTCCATTGTTTCCTCATCTATTTGCCATGAAGTGATGGGACTGGATGCCATGATTTTAGTTTTCTGAATGTTGAGTTTTAAGCCAGCTTTTTCACTCTCCTCTTTCACTTTCATTGATGGAGGATAATTGGAAGCATGACTCTCAAGCAACAACTAAGAAAGTTAAGACTAGATATGCAGTATAGACCTATCAGGGAGAAACCTGGAAATGGGTGTTTTTGCCTACTCACTCTGCTGAGCCAGAGGGAATAGTCTCTTGTAGTATCTGTGCACCCCATGTAGAGTTACCTCTTCCTTTTCTTGGTCCTGGGGGACTCATAATTGCCAAGCCGAGTCAGTACCCAGAGCTCGGTGCCTTGGGAGCCAGTCCCTCACGGGGTAGCCATAATATTTGGTGTACTACATGGGTGGGTATGTTTCTTCCAGGGAGAAGCTGGAGACTTGGTGAGATAGAAGAGGACATGCCCACCAGCTCTTTCAGGCTCCTGGGAGGACCCCAGTCAGCTTCTGCAGGCAGGTTGATTAGAAGCCAGAACCTCAAATAACATCTGAGAAAGTATACACCCAAATCCTCCCTAGGAAGAAACTAGGAGATGAATGTTTTTGCCTGTTCTCTCTGCGCTGGGCCTTCAGAGGGAACAGTGACAAAAAGTGCTTGCCTGCCTGTTAGAAAACTGCTCTTTTAATTTTATTATGGTCCTATGGGACTCTGACTGTCAAGCCCTGTTGGATATCAGAGCTGTGTGATTTGAGCACATACTTCTCAAGTGGCAGTTTCCAAAGCTGGGGCACAAACTTCAAGGGAGAAGCTGGTGACTTGGTTGTTTTTGTTGTCATTGTGAGCCAGGGTAAGAATGTAGGGGAAATATCCACCAGCTCTTTTAGGCTTTTGGGATCCCAGATATCATCCATATCCAGGCTGATTAGAAGCTGGCCCCTCAGGCAGCTGCTGGGAAAGTATGCAGTGAAACCCCTTCT